TAGGTTGGACGTTTACTCAAAAGATATTTATTTGGGGAGATATTATTAATCGATGATGAGAATAACTTCGCAGATTTTAACTGGCTTAAGGATAAAGCGTGTCGCAACGAATTTACAGCTCTATACCATTTTTAGTCAAGGATCTGGCGAAAACCTTAGAGTGCAAGTACATCAGTAAATCCAAAAACTTCATGAGCTAAATTTGTGGTTGGACTGTGTTCTAATCCCAAACCAAACAAACAAGATAGACTTTATGTCTGTGCGAAATCCCATAAACAAAACAGGAAAACATCCAAACTCTGTAGAGGATTCCTTTAAGTTCTAAGTCTCTTACAACTGAAGATAAAAAGCCATATGTGGCAACGTGGCGTGAAGGCAAAATGAAATGGAACGATCGCTTCTGATGTAGATTTTATCGGAAGCATAACTCCATAAGAATTCGTTGTTTATTTAAAGTACACTACTAAACAAATGGTATTATTGTTAATTGTAAGCAATTTTGTAGTGTATATGTCAGGAAACTTCAGCGATTTATTTACACTGGTCCTAGATAGCTGAATCATAATAGAATTTTGCCGACCTAAACACGAACATTATGGTAAAGCATGATGCGTATAAAACTTAGGGATATAATAAACCTTTCGAAAAACTTGACTGTCTGCAAAAAAAACTTCTTTAGGATAATGATGATAATAATCAACTTTTAGATATGGAATCAAAATATTTATGATCTAGTTCCCGAGTAGTAAGGCTTTCAACAATCATTTTCAGGAATTGGTTGAATTTTCCGAAAATTCTAAAGGTAACCAAATTCCTGGTCGCGATAAGTCCTCGTTTTGCAAGGCGACTAGAAGTGAGTCAATTTAGTCGGCTTGTTGCACAAAATCAAGATCGACTAGTGAATATTAATGCAAAACTAGGCGAATAACCCATTCTTTAACCAGACATAACTAAATTCAGTGTACAAGGAACATCAAGTAGACATAATCGCATTAAGTCTACAAGTTGAGGGTTGGATTTTACTGAACAGAGGTAGATATGAGAGACAAAGAACATGCACGTGGAACGTTGTATAAATAATAGACAATAAACGTACTCGATATCTTTTATAAATGGTTGATCTCGTCCTCTACGGTAACATATACAGGCCTCCTCTCCAAAATTCAAAAGGATGTTGGCTTTGTGTTTTCCAGAGACACTGTATTTAATACATGTATACCCTTCCGGTATTTCCTCTTTCTCTCTTAAACTAACAATCTAGAAGAACTTGTTGGACAATCGAAACAATATACCCCACCTTAATATCAACAATAGGTTCAGGGAACCGCGTGAAGTCAATCGAAGTATTGGGAGCGATTATCTCCTCAGCATGTGTAAGGATCTTGAACAAGTAATAATTAAAATTTATTATGCTAACCTTGGAAACGTCATATGGACTTGGATTCTTGGGCAAGCCACAAATCACAAAATATTCTGCAAGACGTTCCGGGAGACTCTGAGTTTTCATGATAATAGGATTTATTATTGAACTTCACAAGTCATGGATTTCCATCTTATCATGTGGATGAGTTAATGGTTCAAGTTAACTAGACCGATCACCTTCAATGACCCGCCTGTAAACGTTAAAGAAATCAACATATTTAAGAGAAATATCCAATTTCTTCATATCATTTATTTATAGACCTGTTTACTTCTACTAGCCCTTGAGTTAAAAATAGTTGCACAATATAAGTGATACCAGGCGCGTTTATTGTGTTCGTATTGTGACAATAATTCTAGAAAGCTTAGTGTGTACACAAGGTTTTTCCTGATATTAAAATGTCTTAGAGGACCAAAAACCTAACAAGAAAACTTGTGAGTATCACATAAAACATGAATCCCAATTCATTATTTCTGTTTGTCCCGACAAGTTTTCGCAAAAATAAAATGTATATAGTCAGTTGAAGAACCTTGTAAGCAATAATAATTTATAGCATCGTAAACACCCACAAGCACCTTAACTACTTGCTTGGGCTCTGCTCCAACACATACCTTGTGGACAATACTCAGAAAGTTGGGACACAGAATAGTAGAATGGGTTGTGGCCATACCTACTCTTTATGAGTAGTCAGCAGTACTTCATGAAGAAATTTGACATGTTCTTAAGCAGTCAGGACAGTTTTTCGCTACAATTTACTCATGCTTTTCCCTCTCTCGTTAAGTGTACTCAAGCCCCTACCTAGACTGAATGAAGATCCACTGCATCTAGATACGGAAACCTGTCGAGTGAACTCTTCTTGTATTCCATCCACAACCATTTTTATTACTTGAGCTTGAGTTTGCATGTGCTTGAATTTATTAAGCTCTTTAATCACCTGACCATCAAGCAGTTTTATTTTTATCGATAGGACTTTATTTATATGTTTTCATATATTTATTCCTGCGCTCATATAGATGTCTGATTAATAATAACGATACTATTATTGTCAAATCAGAAATGAAGAGGTTTAAAGATGTGTTTAGAAGGCCATCGATATTTCGAAAAGCGTTTGGTCATAGCTGGCTAGTAATTACAAAGGATATGTAGCACGGCGTACCCACACGTGATCTGATGCCGATGCGTGAACGAGAGCCTTAATCTAGGATGTGTCCGGTAAAACCAATGAGGTCGGCATCAATGCCAAGGACTTACAGAACTATTTACTTTGGGGACATATTTACCGCTACAATCACGTGACGACTCATTTATATACTTTCCTTAACCTACCAAACATAGGTTAATGAAAGCGCCTGATAACTCGTTCTAATGCTTTGGTGTATATGCTTGTGAAATCACATTACTTTATTTTCGTTCTTACATTCTCAACAATCAACTCACTGGTCAACACGTGCCTTGTGTCGTATGCTAGTCTATCATTTGGCGCATGTTCTGATGAAATAAACTAATGAGGCGGCTTCGTATTCCCTTCTGAAAATTATACACCGTTGGGAATAGCAATAATATTCATCAGGTTGATTGACACATAAGGTTTAAGGACAGCTTTGAATATATATCTCGCAACATAGTAATTGATCAAGTTTTCTCCCTCAGAAGAGGAATGGGTCTTTCCACCCATCTGATAGCACCTTAGATAATAATGAGTATTAAGTTGCTACTAGGTGAAGAAGTGTGGTTTTTGTACTTGATGATGATTCGTTTGTATTTGACTGGGAGTGTATTACCAAGTCTCGGATGATTTTGTTATTTGGTTCCGTTCATCCAGGTCAGCCATATAACCGGCAGTAGTCTAACTTCGGAATTTCTGAGTTTCCTGTCTACATCTTCCTGAAGCCCCCTGTTGTTTTTGTCTTGAAAACTGAGAGGAAGATCATAGCTGTCTTTAAGGCACGTAACTTTTGAGAAATTGTCGCAAAACGTGGTTGGTTTTCAAGAGTCTGGGGAAAATTATGGTCCATTTTATTTGACAGTCAGATTAAGGCCCAGATTCCCGTGTTTTTCGTGGACTGGTCAGAGATCTGAGGCGCTGAGCATTTCTGAAGATGAACTTATATTCTTTATATTCATATTGATGGATGTACAATGTCATACAACAGAATTTTTGAGTCCCACAGTTGCAACAGGAGAGGCTAGGGCACACAAGTTTGCAGAGAAGGCCTAACACCACCGATGTTATGATGGTGCTGAGTTTTATCTTATCCTCAGTGATGTCAGTGCTTATTCCACTAATACTACTGTCATTGAAAACCTTCTTCTTCGCCTTACTGTGTGCTGCTTAGTGCTCATTCGTTTCGGGACTAGTTTGTTTTGCGCTGTTGAAAAGCTTTCTGTAAACATATCAGGAGACTGATGATACTTCCCAGAATATGCTTACCATCTTTTAGCATTTTCAGCAAACAATCGTGACGGTGATATGGAAGTCAAGCTGCTTACGTATGCTCTTTATGGTGAAATATAAGTTGCCAACCAAGCGTGAACAAAAGTTCACACCCGTGAGAAAATGTGGTATGTTCAAAACGAATGAAAAGAATGCAAAAAGAAGGATATGTAGGATTAAGTTTTATTTCGATATTATTACGTATATCTTTGTAACTATTATAATAGACCCTATCCCGAAAATGAAGACTTGTCATGATGCGACTGTTCAATCAATAAGATCTTGCGTCGAAGTCACATCATTGTCTATTTTGACTCACTTTGTCGTGGAAATCAGCAATCGAATGTTTAGCGCTCCATCTAATAGTCAAGGTCATCGTGAGTTACTTTCTGGCTCCGGCTGAGGTCTTTTGTTATTTTAATTGATGGTTTATGCAAGTTTTCGTGATATGTTTTTCATTAGGTGCAAATCAAAAAATTGTCATTGAGCTACACTCATGAATTTTTTGATAAATCTTAAGCACACTTCCTGAGTTTTTGACAATATTTTGTTTGTCACCAGTCCATCTACTTAGCCCGACTTTTTCCATCCAGTATGTCCTGATTGGGTCATCAAAATAGGAGAAGCAGATCACGTCAGAGTAGCAGATATAATATGGTAATAACATCAAATTTATCAAGTAATGGAATTATCTCAGGTCATTTATCATATTTATACTTTTTCTCGGTATTTCTCATGAACACACGTTTATCACCATTAAGTGACTTAAGACATGTCTTACCAAGTACATGAAACATTTTATTTTCAGCCCTCAGATGACGAACAATGGTGTATGTGGAAAACCATTTTCTCTTAAACACAAACTTAATTGCTTACAATTGTATAAATACGAACCAGGATCAGTAAATGAAGATATATAACACCCTGGATTGTTGTTGTCTGTCAATTCAGCCTACTTAATTCGCGTTGTTTGGTAGTAGCTGTAACCAACTTGTTCTTTTTGCTGGATCTACTTGTTTATTTCTAATTATGATCCCCTCTTTTTTTCTCGATAATTATTCCGGACATCTTTTGTTTATTTGTCTTAAAAGCATTGGTTTTATTGGTGATTGGGTAGACCAATTTGTTTTTGATGCTGTAACGTCCATGAAGAATGTAGCACTCACCAGCATTATCTTAGTTTATCATGCTATAACTTGTGATGTTTTCGCGAATAATTGTAAGTCTACACTCAGTACATCAAGACAGTTGTAGATGTTCTGCTTTCTAGTTTCGATAAGCTGTGCAAGGAACGGAATGACAAAGGATTTGTCGCTAATTATGTAGTGGATGATATTACAATCCGTGAACAGTTAGTGTTATCGTGGCCTGGGGATTTAAATACGTCTTCGTTTTATAATCCTCCGAGGAATCCGAAATTTGCATTGTGTCCTGGATTAGTCATTCATCCTTCTGGTCGTTTTGTAAAAAGATCATTTCCAGAAGGTCTAGTAAGTTCTGATCTTTGTAATCAAACTACAATAATATTTTCTGTGAAACAAAATTAAAACTTGCTAAAAAAGTTCAATTTAACAAGTAAAGCTCTCACTTGTTAGTCCTGTAATCTACTTACAATCCTACAAATCTTCTTTTGGGAGCAGAAAGGAATCTTTTTCGCACCTTGTCTAACTACCCAAAGTTTTTCAGACTGGTTTTTCGTTGCTGTTATTAAAAGCTAAAGCTATAGAATCAATTTGCACTTCGCTTAGTTAGAATGTGATGATTGAAATGAGCCAATGTATTTTCTTCCATTGCCCCCTGAAGGCTGGTCGCTGATAAAATCTTGGTCCAAATAACATTGACTCTAAGCTATTTTGTATTATTTATAATACCTATAAAATGATTATTCAAGAAGTATGTGTGCAACTTGTTGCTGTCGTGTACTTTTAATATGTAAATTCATGCCTTAAAGGGATACAGAATTCAAGTGTTTAGTCTTGTGCATCTACAAAGTAGTAGTCAAGTATGGTAAGACTACTGAGAACTTAATGTTAGCATTATATAATTTCAGAAAAAGTAGTAGATTCTTTGATATGAACTTTCTTTGAGCGAGTGAGTGAACTGGCATATTTCATTCTTTGTCTTTCTCAAGACCTGGCAGTGACTTCCTATGCCCTTGCAGGTGTAAATATGACGATGCATTTGTAAGCTTAACGAGGTCATGTAGATGAAGTTTCAGTTGGCGGTCGTCTGTGCTGTCCAAATAACTGGTACTATAAGAGCACATAAAGGTAGAAATATTCGGAGTTGTCGTTTTGAACGTAGTTTCAGGAGACCGTCGATAGAATTTTGTATGATTAGATCATTAGTATTGATTGCAAGAGCGGAAAGTTGGGATCAGGGAAGGAGCGTTTACAATAAGGATAGAAATGTTAGGAAGCAATAAATAGATTTTGTTCTGTTCAATTCTTCCATGTCTAAGTTGTTTTATATTAATAAATTCTTATCGCGATGTGTAACATAAATATCAATCAAAGTAGTGTGTATGCTTATTTTACATTTCTTTTTCGTGAATAAATAGGCTCTCTTTTGGCTATTAAGAGCTAATATCCACTTTACTTGTCCTAAAAATGCCCATTTGTCTGAATCCTTTTATCTTCAATTGGAACAATGGATTGAATCGTTGGAGTGGAACACAAAACACCGGCGACAAGATGCTTTAAAGGATCAAGATGGTGATAATATAGATTCAACTAGTATCGGAGAAGCAGTGAGTTTAATTTTGAGACGCTAATCTCCTTATTATGTAGTCGATTACCATTGGAGTGTTGCTTACATTTGAATACAGAAAGTGTTTTAAACAATAATCGTGGAGTAGATAAAATATAGCTGACTATGGTATCTGCGATGCAGGTCGTTTCATCCTATTTGTGACTTGTTAGCTGCGTTTACTCGCTTTGTAGAGTTAATATTCACTATAGAGTTCGAACCCAGTACCTTTCACTTCAAACGACAACGCGTTATCCACTTAGCTATTAAGTTCAGTTAGGCACTCACTTGTGTAATAAGTATGAATTTTCATGTAGTTTTTAGTGGTTTGGATTATCACAACCAGTGATAACCAGGGTATGTAATTTGAAGACATATCATTCGCAAATCTATATAATATTTTAAAAACGATAGCCTATTGCCATTAGTTTAATTTAAAAAAACTACTTATTCGGTTGTTTGAATCTATTAAAATTTTACAGACAGACATGTTCAATAGCCTTCAGTGAAGTTATCACATAACCATTTATCTTTTCAGTTTTCTGTTAGTTAATTGTTCAGTTTTTTAATGTGTGAATTCTTCTAATAAGCAGTGGTTTAGTTGATAAAACTGATTTAAAGTCCCATCAAGGTACATTATCATATATCATTGGTACTTTAGAAAACTGTAAAAGATTTAATCATGTCAATGAAGGTCAAGATGTAAAAACCACTCTAAAATTAGGTGATTTCCCTTAAACTGTTTCTTACTTCAAAAAAGCCAAATTATGTCTTAATAATGCCAGTTTAATTGATTTTCACTCCTTAAATTATGTCTACATAATGCTATTTATTCTATTGTATAAAAATAATAAATAAGTAGATGGTTATTACGTTGTATTAATATTTTGTGAGAAACTTATAAACCTGGTTGGATATATATCACAGAATGTCTTCGTAAAATATGAAAACCATACATTAAATACATCATTTGTACATCGTCCATCAGTTGTCTTTTACATACTTCATAATTCTTCCAATTCTGTTTTTACTCCAATTGCTATCTGTTCCCCTTCTTGTTCTTCTCAATCTAGCCTTCTTTTGGCAGGCTTTCCACTTCAGACTGCTGCTACATACTACTTATATCTGTCAGCATAAGTGGCATGAATCACAATATTACGCGGTTGCCGAAATTGAAGTTAGTAGAGTGGTGTTCGAACCTATGCCTTTAAAGCTAAAAGCCGACAGCTTAACTGCTAGGCTATCGCTTCACAAAAGGGCTAGTTCAGGATGGAACTATTAAGTGTACACCTTTGTATATATCTTAGTATTTTGCGAACTTAACGAGAATACCTTTCCATTCAAATATGCTTGCCACAAACTGTTGTATTTGAATATTCAATGCATGAGAATGATGGTACGATCATCTTATGCTGATGTTCGTTAGAGTGATCTGCTTAGCCGTCAGAAATATTTCTACTTATGTCCTACTTATCGAATGTTTTCAGCCGTATATTATAGTTTCTGTCGTTTATCCGGAAGTCACACTACAGTATAATAATATTAACAAGTAAAATACTTAACCTCTTTGATTTATAGACTATTTGTGTTGTTTCTTTGCTGTCCCTTAAAAATAGCCTGATGAAATCTTACTGATCAACTGCTCGAGTTCTTACATTGGTCAGTCTAACCATTGGAGTTTATCTGGATATTTACGAAGAATTCGCATTACTTGGAAGCTGAGAAATGAAACAGAAATTACAGATCTTACGACAATTACAAATACATCACTGTCGAGTACTTCTTCCTCTTCTGTTATCTTTTTGAATACAAGTTTCAGTGACTCTTCGTTGTCATCAACATCCCACTTAAACAATCTGAATAATCAACATTTTCTTTCCAGATCAGGCATTAAATTTCTTGTGCGTATCTCTTCACATATGCTATTTGTAGGCAATTTCTCTATGGAACGCCGTATGTTATTTGATATTTTTCGGCTTTAAAATATGTTTTAATCAACCGTTTTTTTTCATTTTGAGTTATATTTAGTAGACATCACATCAAAACCCCTCAGGTAGACTGATGTTGTTTCTGCATAATTCATATAAGTGAATATATACAATCTGATATAATTTTAATACAGTTATTTTCTTGTTAACTATTAGATTTATACCAAATCCCCCATTAATGAACAGTAAATTTCTTAAAAGGTGGATTAAAACGTAGACGAAATAAAAATCTTAGACACAGTACTCTCTTTCTCTCTCCCTCTTCATGATATATATACGATATAGGTACAAGTCAGCAAAGGTAGCTGTGATGACCTTGCCATTCTGAAATCGCCTTTCTTTCATCGAATGAGGAAAAGTTACGATTTAGTAGAAAAAAAACATATTTCGCTACAGAAATTGTGAAATATGTTAGTGGTTTCAAGAAGTATATTGATTCCCCAACGGTTAGATCAATATTTCAAAATAGTTTTCATTAAAATATCGCTAAGTAACGTCATTTGTATGAATGCGAGTATATCCATGCTAAATGGTTTTTTTCCAAATCCTACTAATAAATGGTTTTCAGTAAAAGGTTGTGGAGATTGTTGAATTTCAGTGAAATCACGAACCGATCTAAGTTAGACCACCATTAAAATTTTTGAAGTACTGAACGGCCGTTTCTTCGTGGTATGGAACTCCTCAGCAGTGCACATCCACTAACCCACTGTGGTAATCAAACCCAACACCCTTGATCTCGCGCGCAAATGCTTAACCTTTAGACCATTGAGCCGTTATTCAACATTATCATTGTTTAACTTCAACTAATAAATAGTTTTATAGGAATTTTTACCATCGTTCAATAAATTTACTGATGAAGTTATAAAAAGGTGATATGTATAAGTCATGCATATTTTACACAGTTCCATTTCCACCAATTTGTTTACCAGTTAATGAATCATTAATCAAGTGACTTGTTTAAGAAGTTTACTTACCATAAACAAAGTAGAGTACAATAAAGAAAAACCCATCGATTTACATGTTATATACAGTCTATATAGAAAGATATAGGCATACAACATATTACACACTGTCATTCTCATTTTTTTATGTAGAAAAGAAAGGATTCTTTTTCTATGTAATGTAAATAAATACAAAAGTTATGGTATATGGACGAGTCAATATACCATTAAGAATGAAATATTTGATTTTTTTCTTTTATATTCAAATATTACTTATAGCAAGGAGTAGAAATACCTTTTTATATACTGTCTGAAATAAGCAAATATGGATAGTGGCTAGCAGTGAAATCGAGAATGCGCGTTTTGTCTTATTTGGGACTCGTCAGCCGGATGTACATACATCTCAGAATTGATGTTCACTCTGGGACTCGGTTCAACGTTATTGGTTCCTGATAGCCACTTGCTTATGCAATGGGGTGAAGTTTACATTCACTTGGTACTGTTTATTAATATTATCTTTACTTATAATGCTTGTGAATTAAGGCTATATCGAGGCAATACGCATAGTATGCACATATACCAATAAGACTGATCAACTGCAGTCCTAAACGTCAATGGGAAGATTCAAGTAAACAATACCAAGTGAATTTCCTAGTATACACCCTTTTAAACTTTTGTACAACACCATAAAAGTCGAGTTAAGATCAATCCTATGGCCTGTTTCAAGTATGTGTTTGGCAATAGAGGATGATGGATGTTTATCCTCTACTCTTATTGGGTCATTTGATTCTATTTGTCTGTGCAACCATTTAGGTACATGTTCATACACCCTAATTTTGTGATCGCATTTGCTCCTCTCTATTTATATATGGCCACACATACATTTAAATTGGTAAATACAGTGAGATGTGACGAGATCGTTTTCATGTCTCTTAGGTGTTCGATGAAGTATAGACCTAGTTCTATACTGTCTGAAATGTTTCAAATGATGTCGAAAAATTATTTTTTGTCATCATACAGTAAAGATTGTTATCTTAAATGTGTTAAATACTCAATTCTTTCTCAGTAGGTTGTATATATCAGACAAATCGATACTATTTATTAATTATATTCATAAATTCTTAATCCTGAAACTAATTTTAACTTAGCGATACACTACATTTTATGGATGAACTAATCAGTTAGCATCTCTGACATTTTTTTGCGCGAAATTTGTTCATCCATATGGTTACAAAGCATTTTTACATTATAAGTGATGTTGATTTGTGATGAAAACTTTAACCTTAAACCCCTAATCCTTACTTTAAATCCTTTGTCCTAACTAGAAACAATGTAGGGACTTAGAATTATGTTATTTTTCTTTACATGCTCTAAGGTCATGCTTGCAACAATATATAAACAATGGAGCAGGAGCTTACTGGTTAAGGCGTTTGACTTTCAAACACTAAGTCATAGGTCCGAAAATCATTCCATCTACTTCGGTTTGGACAGCTGCGTTGCAGTATCCCACTTAATATGTGGTTCATATTCAAGTACCTGGAGAATAAGTTAATTTGACCAATATAATATAAACAGATTTGTCGTACTACAGTTTTGAATATAAAACTTATGAAAGTTCCGTTTATAATAGTGCAGAATCACACCGTCTAACCAAGCAGAATAAAGAAGGCGACTTCAAGGAAATGGGAGATTTATTGGTGTAGAGGGACCTTTATCTAACTATATGAAACTCAGGATATTGACCATGAGCTGGGAATTTCGGCAGAAAAACAAGATGGATTTTGAGATGGTGGAGAAGATTTGTAGCTCAGAGAACAAAACTCCACCACAAGATGGATTGCTAACACCAGCACTTAAGTATGAATGCGGTAATGAAATGACGGTGCATGAATGTAGAAAACATAAAATGGTGTGATCCTTCACTGCAATGTTCGCTGAGGTTAAAATTATTACTTAGTGTTGGAATCACAGTAAAACTTTGTGTCAAAGGTCAGGATTATGATTGAATTAAGACTATGGTTAAAATTATGTTAATAGTTCGGGATAGGGGTTAAGACTGAGGTTAGTTTTATAAAATTAAGTCTAGATCCTAATCTTTAATCGTAACTCTAATCGTATACTCTAGCAGTTCAGAATCAATAACAAGCGAAGTTAATCAGTCATGTTCAAAGAATATCCTTTCTGTAAATTCTTTGACTTCGTATTGTAACTCGTTTCTGATTCGCTGGGATGAGTGATTTTCACAAGGTCATTCGGTAGTATAGTTTAACAACTACAATCCCATCTCCCCTTGATTCACGTACGAATTATTTGGATTGAAGTGTAGTAGTGTATAAGTCATCTGATCTTTCTATTTCTGGTAGATCCCATTTCTTATTTAGGGGATCTTCCTCACGTTTTTTAAATTTGGAACTACACTTTAGATTATCTATCCCAAATCATAACAGTTTCAATCATTCATAATCATGTATTTCAATCGTAAATTTTAGAGAAAGCATTATGTGAATTTTTCTCTGGATTTTGGTGTCTTCAATCTTTATCTACTTCTAATACTACGTCAACTAATCATCATCACCAGGACAACCAAAGTAGTCTTATGTCATCGTCTACGTCAATGTCGTCCTCACCACTAACACCATTACTGAATCAATCTAATATCTTATCAAGTAAACATCCTATTTGTGTTCAAGCTACAATGCTGTGTGATAGCCTTCCAGATTGTGATTTGAGAGTGCCTATGAATGAAGTTAATTTATCACAGGATGAAGCAAATTGTAATATGATCCCATCAAATTATTCCCTGAAAACATCTAAATTATGTAAGTTACTATTTTGTTTTGTTTTACCAGTGTAGAGTTATAAATGAAGCATTACGTGCATACATGTTCACCTCATAGGTGAATTCATTGGTTTTATTTTGATAACTAGTGATACAGTATAATTCTCTTGACTAAATCAGCTAAATAGGTTCGAACATATAATCTGATACTCATGAGTTATTTGGTTAATTCATAGTTTGATCAGCGTTGTAGTTGTTGCATGTGATGAAAGGGTGTTTGTTTGTGAAGAAAGCAGGTGGTCTTGAGTCATGTCACAAGTATTCCGGCGTTTCCCTACACCATGGTAAAGTACTTCTATGAGTACCTTGAAACGAGACTGGATTAGGATTGGTTATGATGAGTTGGGATTGTGATTGCAGTAATCTAGGGATAACGACTTATCTGTATTCATTCGTTGACCAATCATGGCTTGCTTTCACCTGACACCTAATATCTGTTCTTTGGCATCTTTTTCAATTACGGTAACAATGAAAAAGTCACATATCTTCATAATTCTTCTTATTGTGATGAAACCAGGTTACGCACAGGGAAACATATGTTAGTACTCATTTTTTTGAATTATTTTTTTCTGGTTAGCGTTTTTTAGCGAGTTCGTTTTCTACGGGATGGGGTCGCTAACCCCTATGCCCAACTCTCCTCCTTTACCCGGGCTTGGGAGCGGTAGTAACTCTAGACGAGCTAAGATCATGTGTAGTATTCATTTTTTGACAGGGGAAGGTATATAGACGAATTTAAACATTTTAGCCAATCAGAAAATTGTTGGGCTATGAAATAATTCCTAGTAAAATAGTTATAAAATTAAAAACGATTAAAAACTTGGGCATCATTAATAAACACTTATGTGTGAATTATTACTTATAGTAAATGAAAATGTGTTGAAATTACGGGCGAATAAAAATATTTCCATTTACCACAAATACTACTGTTATACATTAATACAACCTGACACGAGATTATACTACCTCTATACTGAATACTCGGCCGATAAGCTATACACAGACTGGAATCACGTTATATCAGATAATTGATTTGCAACTGAATCTAGTGAACTAGAGTAATAGATCAAACAATAGATTTATTCGACACAAACACTAGTGCTTCATACACAGTGAATCCAGAGTAGCAAACAATGATAGAAGAGAATTCATGTGTTAAATATTTAGTAAGACGAATGTCAGTTTGTCTTTTTTCGCTGGCCAATCACATCTTACTATTCCATATGAGAAATGTCATAAGATTTTCATTGCCATGTGATATCGGCTATAATGTAACGATGCTTTATGTACATGGATGAATGAATTCCGTGCACAAATCCACAGGGGACTATTTTACCTCTGTTTTTTTACGTCCATAAAGTATGACACCAAAAAGTTTGTTAATCCGTTGTGAGTTTCAAGTGTATTTAGTTTCAACTGTTTCTTCCCTTAAAATTTCTCATCATCATTCCAATAATCGCATACAAGCTTTATAGATCTTTAGTCTTATCATGTTATGAAATTCCAGCTTCTAAATAACAAAATATTGTTAAACATTCCTCAGTTTCTATATAACTCTCAACAAGTTAAAAGTTAACCGTTATGGCGTCGTGAATTTCGCGCTAAATTTTTGATGACTGCCATCTTAAGTCTGATTGGTTCGTCCATATACTTTATTCCTACCACTATGATTATTATTATTATTTCTATGCGTGTAAATGAATGGTACTTTAAATATTTGTAATATTTATTGTAAAATGGATGTTTATAAATTGTTGTTTCTTTTTCATGCTCTACGCATATGTTTGTGAACCCGTCAGCTAAAGACGATCATTGGATATCTAAATTACCATGGATAGGTAAGTATGAAACTTCTGTTATTGTAATTCTTCTTTATGTTTTCTAGAAAAAAGATAAACCTCTCAAGATGTTTCATTACTACGTTGGGCTTTGTTTCTATTGTAGATATATTGAAACTAGGCTACTCTCTCATTAAGCCTAGCTTCGGTCGCATAATTATTACTTTAGATAACAATTTAATCTATATTCAGTTTTTTTCTTGAGATAGTGGGGATAATTTGTAGATCAGGTGAGTGATTTCGGCAGTAACAACCCTTAGAACTTACAAAATCAACTGTAAACAAATTTTATTCAAAAGGACGAGAACACACTACAGCACATTTACAGCGCGGAATAATGAGGAAAAATATCTAATAACTATCTTTTAAAATAAGGGATATTCACTCATCTTCACCAGAAAATATCAATCCAACTCATCAGCAGAAATGAAATGAAGTACAGAAACCAACAAACGGATCATCCTATTTTATGTTGAAAGCATATCAGAAATTAAAACGAGATTGTTGAAGCCGTTTGGAATAGGTTTACAGTGAACGTACACTAAGGTGGGGAAGACTAGTTCACTGTTTAATGCTAAATTAGTAAAATATAAAAACCATACAGTACATACTTCGTTTGCACATCTTTCATCAGTTGTCTCTTACAAACTTCATCGTTCCTTCATTCATGTTGTTATTACAATTAAACTCTCTTCACATTCCTGTTCTCCTCAATTCCATATTGTCAATATTCTACTACCAGGCATTCTATTCCAGATTTGTGTTTCGTACTACTTTTATCTGTCAATATAAGTAGCGTTACACCACATGGGTAACACATGAACCGGGGAAAACGCGTCAATCAATATTATGAAATCGTAAGGATGAAATGAAAAAACAAACAAACATCATCTACAAAATAAACGGTTCCATTTGTGAGAAACACTATATCGGACAAAATAGACCCCTCTTTCATCTACGCTTGCATGAACATCAATTAGCGATTAAATGCCGTGACATATCTTTCCTTATATTAATACATGTGCACAATTGTGGACACACATTCGATTGAAAAAAAATATCGAAATCTTGAATAGAAGGACTACTAAGATTTGAGAATTTTTAGAGTCTTGGAAATCAAGTCAACCAACAATCAATAAACACATCAAAGTCGATAAAATCTATCAACCAATCAGAAAAAAATCATGGACAAATGTAGGGCAAGTAGGAGATTCAATAAAAATAAAAATACAAACAATTACAGATTAAATGTTACTTACTTACGCCTGTTACTCCTAGTGGTGCATAGGCCGCCGACCAGCATTCTCCAACCCACTCTGTCCTGGGCCTTCTTTTCTAGTTCCATCCAATTCTTGTTCATTTTTCCCATGTTTATCTCCATTTTCCGGCGTAACGTGTTCTTAGGTCCGCCTGGAGCACCTCCGGGAGCTACTGCCGGTCCCAAGCCCGGGTAAAGGAGAAGGGATGGGCATAGGGTTAGCGACCCCATCTCGTAGAAAACTAACTCGCTAAAAAAAACGCTAATCAGAAAAAATTATTCAAACATATTAAACGTCAACACTAACTGATCAAGTTCGAGGTCGACAAGATAAAACGTTAGTCATATGTGAAGAAACTCGAATACCTCACTTCTACCATAAGTTTATTTGCCTATGATGTTGTAATTCAGTAAAATAATGTAAGCTGCTTCATCATTATACTATCCAGATCAGCGAAACGAAACTCCATCAAAATTAGTCCTTTTGTTTAGGAAATTGAAATTAGATATTTTCACATGTAGATTGTTACATCCTTTTGCAAATCGATCTTGATAGCTTGTTGTATTACTATGGTAATAAATATGAACTAAATTCGTGTCTAGTTGAAATGTGTCAATAATTCTACTTGTAAAACTTTCTAGATGGATATATCAACAAATGGCAGCAATTCTGGTGTTTATTTATTTGATTTGGACTGGAATCTAGGATTTGGTAAAAGAGTAGGTGAAAAAAATAAGTGAAAATTACAGAAAAAAAACCCGAAATATTAGTGATAGTAATAATAGTCTCGGAGGATTTGTGGAGACTGTAGAGTTTTCGTGGTTTAAATCAAGAACTGATCTTAGCTAGATCACCATGGGGAACCTGTAAACACTGAACCACCGTTTTGTTACGTCATGGGACCCCTTAGTTCATGATTTAAAACTACGAAATTCTTACTTTCTCCACCGACCCCCCTATTATACTAATAATAGTTATGTGCTGATTAGTGACTAGGTTGATGATGCAACTACCGGAGTTCTAGTGCAGTCCAATCGGTGTATAGTGTGAGACAGTTATCCATCTCAACCAGTGGATGAGAGTTGTGCAACTTCGTAAATTGATTGAGGTTAGACTTGTACACTATTGCACGCTTATGTTATTAGACATAGGGCAGACATTTCAGAGTACGTCCCTATTGCATATACTTGCAGACAAAGCTACACAAACTGCGACTCATGAGATTCATATACAGATCTGGCAGCCCACAAGATTTAGTGAGCCTCGAAGTTGGAACTCGAGTAGCCCACATTACAACAGAATGTGGGATCAATTCAATCTCTGTCGATTGCTTAAAACTAGCTAGCAAGGTTTCCCCTACTACCTAGCAGCTCCACGAGCAGACCTTGGGTTGTATTTTGCCGACTTAGATAGACATAAAATGATAAAAGGTCTCTTTTTGTACTTGTACACTATAAAATTATGATGATTTGAAATATTCTGTATTGTTTATATGTAGGATAGTAACAGTTATTAATTGGATATGATATGGTATAAAGTTTTTATAATCATCTTAAAAATATTTATTAGTTTACTGTTATTGCAATCTAGTCTCTTGCTATTTTTTTCTCGTAATTTATTGTATAATTTTTCTAAGGATACCATTCATAATGTAGATTAAAATGTTTCTTTGGGAATGGAATCTTCAGTGTTATTTATAAGAAGTATTATTCTTCTCATTTTAGAATAAACTTAAATCCTATATGACACAAGACACTAGGTTTATCTTCACAGTTTGACTTTCACTACACATACACACAAGTAATGTTTACGTGATGAACAGTAGGTTTAACGTCCAATTATAATTCACTGATGATCTACCAAATGGTCGTGGCAACTTTGTTGTTCTACTGCAGCATTAAGTTAGATGTCCAGGTTGCAAATAACATGAATAGTGTCTGATTTTGTCATAATTAATATGAAATTAACAAATCAAAAGGTATATAGTTACAATTGGAAATATAAAGCTATGGATCACTGATTAAAGATGTTTGAATTTTAACTAATAAGTCATTAATCTGAACTTCATCTATTTTGATAAATGAGTGGGGTATCATCACGTCTAACACTTGAACTGGACATAGAGAGTCCACCTAAAGGAGGTGGAAAACCCTGATTCCAAACCAATGGTGTATATGGGCTCCAGGATCTTGAGTGAACAAATGGCATCTGAACCAATCGTTGGTCACCGACTACCATAGGACTGCATTTCTTGATGTTGCTCCACTACCTTATGGATCAGACCTTCAAATCGAAGGCTCCGAAGTGTGCCCGCTAAGAAAACCATCTGTTTCGTTTTGGGCACCTGAACAGTATCCCAGCCCCCACACAAATCGAATGATTTATGTGGAGCATATCTGTTTGATGCCTCTTTGTACTGATGTTTATGTGTTTAAATAAATAAATATAAATAAACACATGGAGTGTATGTAAAAATTAAGTACTTGAATATGTACCTGATTACTGTGTTGGTATGAATCACAGTTATAAATAGGAATTCCTTGTTGCTTTTTTTTAACCGAATGAATTTATTTCTGTTTATTTTCTATCTTTTGTTTCATTCAAGAACATGTTTTTCTTTTTACTCTTCTAACCAAACTAGTTCTTGCACCGGTACCTGCTATATTAATCTGTGCTCTAATACGTATCTGTTCACAGAAACGTCAATTAGACATGATTGAAGATAATAATAATAATAATATCATTATAATTTTAATATAAATAATCTTAATGAATGTTCAACAGTAATATCCAGTTCCACAACAACAACAACAACAACAACTACAAATCATTGTGATAAATGTTTACATATACAATACAAAAAATTACCTAGTAATTATTTTATAATTAAACGTAAATTACACAATTATCGAGGAAGTATACCGGGATTATTGAATCGAATAAATAAATTATCTAGTGTTACTGAAGTTGATGATGAAATTGATCCCAGTATAGATCAACAAGTGAATATATTGAAAATGAAACCATTGAATAACACTAGTACTAATACTAATACTACTACTAATAATAATAATGTTAAAACAAAATTGGCAAATAATTCAAATCATTGTGATAATTCATTACAACATTGTTATTCCTTACCTGAATTTACTATAAAACATGATGATAACGATGACGATAATGATAATGATGATGATAAATTCAATAGTGATTTGATGTGTTATAGTGTTAACAATGTGATTATTTCCAATCGAAATTTTCATGCAATCAGTACTTGTTCAAGTCGTGAAGCAAGTTTCGATGATGATGATAATGATGATAATGATGACAGGCTTAATATCAATCATCATCTTATTACACATTATCAATCGATAGAAACATTTAATAAAAGTAAAAGTTGTGATAGTCTACATGAAATAAGTACACAAAATGAAAGAATGAATTATTTATCGATTTCTCCTTGTTCTTCCACTTCATCATCAATAGATCGTAATAATGATGAGAATAAAAGGAATCATGTAGTAGGTTTTCTTTTTACTTTTTATTCATTGTATTTTATGTTTTGAGGGAGTTTTACAAAATTTATGCCGAAACAATACTGATAAGATGTAAAATAGGTGAATGGTGACTAACTGTAAAATCTAGGAAGCATGTTTTATACTGTTTAAAACTAATCAGAGGAAAGTATCGTTATCCCCAGTACCTTTACACTGAAAATATCACATTCGTTTTTTCTTTACAACAGAAACAGTATATGGTAAGATGATTCTGTATTATTGCTCAGATTTCTCTGCTATGTCAGCTATTATCCTTTGATCTTATTTAACTAATATTGACTTAATTAGATACCTAGTATTTATTTGTTTAAACACAAACATCGTCAGAAGGGGTTTTGTGGAGATTTTAGTAATTTCAATAGTTGAAATCATGAGTCAATTGAAGCTAGACCACCATGGAAAACCTGACAGCACTGGAAGGCCGTTTCATCCTAGTGTGGAACTACTCAGCTGTGTGCACCCATGATCGTGTCCCCGCGAGATTCTAACCCAGGACCTATCAATTTCGCATCTAACGATGTCTGACTTCAACTAATCCACGAAATTGCGCCACATAAACATTGGTTCAATGCTGCACCAAATCCATATGCACCACACAGTGACAATGAAGTTGTGAGGATGTAGAGAGTGTAAAGTGAGTATAATAAAAGAAGAGTAACAACGAACAGAAATTAGTGTATGAGAATGAAATAATAATAATAATCATGAGACAAACAGTTGAGTTAGGAAAATACAACCAGAAAGGATTCTTTCTATGAAAGAAGTTACTTTTACTTTGATGAAGAAAGTGACAGCAGGATCACCACTGACTTCTATTCTGAGTCATATCTGCAAACATCTCAAGAAGGCGAATCGAAACAAGAAGGTAGTAGTAATCGTCCTACAAGTACAAACTTCCTTCTCACGCATCAGCACACACACACACATGAGTAAGACATTAAATGTAGATCGGAGTAATAATTATTAACCGAATGAAGAACAGGGAAATGTAAATTTAACAAAGACCTAATACCAAAGTTACTCAATACTTATTTGATACATTGTGAAAATTAAACAGGTCAAAAGATAAGCAAAGAAACGCCATTATTGGTTAAAACTATAGCTTAAGATTTTAAGATAGATAGATGTCATCTACTCACTAGTGACTAACTTCAAGAGATACTCCTGGAGTTCTAATGAGAAGCCGTTACCAGTGGAGTTCAACCAGGTCTGTTGTGAGATATCAACTCACTGAAGACAATGGTGTTCTGTGGCGCAACTTCGTGGACTGGTTGAAGTTAGACATTAGCACCGTTGGATGCCTAATCAGTGGTCTAGTTTGTTAAGAGCCTTGCGCGAGACTGATAGGTCCTAGTTCGAATGTCGCGGGGTGCACTATCGTGGATGCGCACTGCTGAGGAGTCCACTACTAGGGCGAAGCGGCCGTCCAGTGCTTCCAGGTTTCCATGGTGGTCTAGCTTCAATTGACTCATGATTTTAATCCGTGAGATAGACTTATGCTTGATTTGATTTTAATTAATAAAACTTCCAGTTTTCTTACTCGAGTAGTTGATCTGAGTAGGTTTTATATTCAGTATCAGAATCAGACAGTCATCTGACATAAAAGGATTATTAGAAAGTTTAAATTTTGGCTTCATGACATGTTAGCTAACTATACGTTCATGAAAAACTAAACGCTATTTTCTTTATTCTTAAGATCATTAACATCATGATGAGAAGCTGTGACTAATAAATCCATACAGTGTTACTACATTTTGACTTAGTTCATCATTGTTGGGAGCTTACATCAGAAGTAAATCGGTTACATTTGTATAATCTAGTTGTAAAAATGAATTATCATCTGCATGAACTTAAAGTCAATTGGATCAAACACAAGATGCGTAATGAGATCAATGAATCATCGTATTTCTAAACATCACCTCTCATAGTTGACCGAAGGAGAAAAGAAATTAATAAGAAGCTCTATCATGACGTATCTAGTCGATATTGGTTATCACATAGATAAAACTTCAGATTTGAAAGTTATTTGTAAAATTTCATCAAATTTATCTTATGGTTCCTGAATCGGACTCTTACATATAGCAGAAGCCTTAAGAATACACATCAAAAAGCTTAACCTCTATATACAAAAAAAGTATAAACAGTCTTTAAATCTACCCTGACCTTCAACTTCGATAATATTACATGTTTCAGAACCTTTCACTGCGTTTAACTTTTTTCAAATCCCGATTTTGTTGACATTTCGAATTCTAATCTTACGTAACCTGTTTGGTAATCTTAGTAACTAATTTTCAATGTACCTCTATCCTACTAATTAATTATCGTTGAAATCATGAATCCATCGCAATTAAGCCACCATTAAAAAGCTGAAAGCATTGGCCTGTTTAATTTTCACAATGTATCAAATAAGTATTGAGTAACTTTGGTATTAGGTCTTTGTTAAATTTACATTTCCCTGTTCTTCATTCGGTTAATAATTATTACTGTGATCTAATAGTGTCCGGCCAACGGATCCGAAGTATTTTGCGTAAACAACTGTTAATAAGGACTTGTATGTTCTGGATGATGGCTTTCGTAGTTCTCCAGGTTTCCGCCCCATACAGTAGAACTGCCTTGACATTTATATTGAAAATCCTAACCTTGGTGTTGATTGACAGACAGTTGTTTTGAGTTCCAGATATTCTTCAGTTGTAAATATGCTGCTCTTGCTTTGCTGATCCGCGCCTTCATATCTGCATCAGATTCACCGTCTTATTTCACTCTCATACACTAATTTTAGTTCGTTGTTACTCTTCTTCTGTATATATTCACTTTTCTTTTAACTATCTCTTCACAACCTCATTGTATTTGATGTCGGTCCCTCCATGTACGAATGTTTATGTGTTCAAATAAATAAATAAATAAATAATCTAAATTAGTGATAGTATAAAGAATACCTTTTCATCTTCTTAATAGGATATAGTTAGGTTAGTTGAATAATATCATTATTATTATTTTTTCTTTCTATATCCTATTTTATTTTTTAATGAGAAGATTTTATCTGATTCCCCCAGTGATAACAATAGTCAATTCATCATACAAAAATTTCCTAAAACAATCATAATATCCAATCAATATTCTAATAATAATGAATCATTATCACATTTCAAATTGAATATGAGCGCTCAATATAATAATCAATATCATGATGATGATGGTGGTGGTGATGTAATAGAATATGATTATTATAATCAATATCAATCAAGGAATCATTCATTATCTGATTCAACAATATGTAATTCTCAAGAGAAATTCAATGATTTACCATTGAATTATACTTCATCTTTGAATACATTTGATGAAATACCAAGAAAACTTTCAACATTGACAAAATGTATAAAGCATATTCATCAATTCATGAATTCTTCATTTACACTTGGTAATTATTTAAAAAATAAACATGTATATAATAGTCAAACAAAATTATTAATGATGGAATCGAAGTATAATATATATCATAATAGAAGTGAGTGAATAATTTAATATTATATTGTTAAATATTATTCAATGAATTAATGACTCAAAATTTGAGAGAAACTTACATACTTACTTACTTACTTACGCCTGTTACTCCTCGTGAAGGAGCATAGGCCGCTCATCAGCATTCTCCATCCAACCCTGTCCTGGACAATCCTTTCCAACTCCTTCCAGTTGTTATTCATCCTTTTCATATTTGCTTCTATTTCTCGACGTGATGTGTTCTCTGACCTTTCTCTTTTACGCTTCCCTTCAGGATTCCAAGTTAGGGCTTGCCTCGTGATGCAGTTTGACGATTTGCGTAATGTATGTCCTATCCATTTCCATAGTCTTTTCCTAATTTCTTCTTCAGTTGGAATCTGATTTGTTCTCTCCAACAGTAGGCTGTTGCTGATGGTATCCGGTCAATGGATGTTGAGTATCTTGCGTAGACAATTATTTATAAATACTTGTACCTTCTTATTTATGGTTGTATTAGTTCTCCAAGTTTCAGCTCCGTACAGTAGAACTGCCTTGACATTCGTATTGAAGATTCCGCCTGTAGCTCTTTTAGAGTTACTGCCGGTCACAAGCCCGGGTAAAGGAGGAGGGTTGGGCATAGGGTTAGCGTCCCCATCCCGTAGAAAACTAACTCGCTAAAAAAAAGCTTACCAGAAAAAATAATTTGAAACAAAGTATGGAATATTTTAGTTGGGGCCCCTTTATTTTGTGGTCATTTGAGATCGCATGATGTTGTCGATGGGTTCACCAATTTAGTGGCCCGGGATCTGACTCCAAGTAGATGGTATGAATGATTGTTAGTCGCAGCCCAGGTCCAAGGTTTCCTGTCGACTACCTCCAACCTTGTATCACACAGATTCACAGTAAATATATACGTGAATTTTGTCATACTACTGTAATTTTTGCATAAACAATGGGACACAGTTGAACGAATTTAAAATTTTTTTGTGTTATACGAAAAGCCCATCTTAACGGAATCCGGTAAACATCTATGATTTATAGAGGACACCTGAGATAGGGATGAATATCTATCGACTGATATGTCTTGAACATTATTACATATGCTTGTCCACCTACTATCTCGGCGTGCCGATGATGGCTAGTATAAGAGCAGGTTGAAAGGAAGCCGAGAGTGGACAAATACAAGATACGGTATCAGTCCACAAGGACACTGACCGTTAGACTGAGCCATGTAAGTTAGTGCAGATTACGTGGTTGGGGTTCATATGATTATCGTAAGCAATGGTTAGAGACTTTGAATAATATGACTCAAAATCGTTCACAGTGGCTCATTTGTATTTACTATTTGTCCTCCTTTAGATCATAAATTTCTAAATATTCCTCATATTTTTGTTTTACTTCACTGATTTACATTTTCTCGAATTATGTCTTTGATAACTAGTGTTTCCTGTCACTATTAATACTGTTATTATCTCTACTACTCTGTGATTGGTTTTAACAATTTCGTCTCTCTATGCTTTGGCAACTTGAACTGATGTCCACATATTTCAGGTTCCATGTTGCGTTTGTCTGACTTATGGCGAGCTATAAAACAAATGTACTGATCGATTATTAAAAAAATAGTTGTTAACAGTGTTACAAACACTTTCGAGGAGAATTTATTTACTTAGACAAATAAACATTGGTACAAGAGGGCACCAAATAGATATGCGCCACATAAATCACTCGATTTGCGTAAGGGTTAGGATACTGTCCGGGTGCCCAAACTGAAACAGGTGGGTCTCTTAGGTGACCAAACCCGGAGCCTTCGACCTGAAGGTTTGATCCACAAAACAGTGGAGCAACGTTAGGAGATACAGTCTCATGTTAGCCGATGACCAACAATAGGTTCATGTGTCATTTATTTCCTCAGGATCCTGGAGCCCATATGCACCAGTGGTTTAGAATCAGAGTCATCCAACTCCCCTAGGTGGACTCTCTATGCCCACCAACCCGGTTAAAGCGCCGGACATTCGCTTTTCGTCCTCTCAATTTCGTAAACAACACCCTCGCCACGAGAAGGCAGTGAGTAGAACTTCCCTGGCAGGGGCTATATACGCGTGGCCATGTGAGAGTATTTCGAGAGGGAGAGCTCATAGGTTTTGAATGATTGTCTAACTTAAATCGATTTGTGATTTCAATAAACAGATACTGTTTTAGTTATTATTATTATTATTACTAATCCAGTTTATTTACATTTTTATTCACAGATGATTGATTTCCTATAGCTAATATTCAACTTCCATCTTTTTATGTCGATAAATGAAAAAAATAGTCTTCGAAACCAAACTTATCTGCATTTTTGTACTTATTTTCGTGATGCTTTGAGAATCCTACTTTTTCTCATTAACAACTACTGTTGATGGGTATAGTTATTTCATTGTTTCACCGTTTTTTTTTTCGATTATACTCTTCAATCTCACAGTATTTTTACTTTATAAAACTGATTATTTAACAAATTTTGTTTGTTTTTTTTTCTTCCAATCTTTATTTCAAACATTTCTAAACTCTAATTCACTTGAATCTTCCCATTGATGTTTTAGGACTGAAATTGATCAGTCTCTTATTGGCATATGTGCATACTGTGCGTATGCTTCGATATTGCCTTTGCTTATAATTTCTAAACTCTGTTTTATATTAGACCTTATGATCAAATCAAATATGAAATTGCATTTAGTTCTATTCTCATCATCTACACAATTCTTCTCAATGTATTTTTTTAAAGTTTCTATTGTTGTTGTTGTCGTCGTTTTTTCTCTTTTCTTTTTCTGTATTTTTGTTTACATGTTTATCCTGAATCATTCATATTTTACTGATTTTCTACTTTTATACATAGAGATACATACATAATATACATGCACATACAGACACTCACACACACACATACAACATGTTTCTTTTCTCCAGTTTTGTTATTGTATTATATGATTGATTTCATTTATGTCGTTAAGTGTATATTCTCTTGTTGCTAGTTCATAAATATGTTCTGTTGTTTGTTTGTTTTTTTTTGCTTTGAAATGTTCCACATACACAAAAAATATTTTGCATGATTAACATTCAGTATTATTTTGTCTATGAAATTAGTTTTAGAAACAAACAAAACAATGTGTGTATCTTATGCTTTATTTACTCCCCTATATACATACAAATTCGAATCGATGTTTTTATTGCTGTTGTGTTGTTGAGGTATTGACGAAGAAGAAATCAAAATGCTTACAATATAACTATAGTGATTTATTGTTGAGATTGTATTTAGTTGTGAATTCTTGTTAACGTTCGATTTTCATGGGAAAAATGTTACATACTAATGTATTATTTAGTCTTAGATAGTAGGTGAACATTCGTAAGGTCAATGTAATGTCACTCAAAGGTTGCACATAAATTATAGTTCTTACTGATGATGGTTCTTGATAAGAGAACATTTTTATTTATAGAACGACGACGTCAGTAATATGTATCACAACAATCGAAATGATGAAGGTCAGTTTTACTTAACACTGTTAACAACTTATGGGTTAGGGATAGATTTTTCGGTCAGACTATAAATTATGGACGACCTTTCAGCGACGCTAAGGTGACATTGAGAGTGTTCACCTAATAACTAGGGTCAAATGAGGATTATAAACCGATGCGAGGAATTCGAATTACGATTTACAGTTGATGGTTAAGGTTATGAATTCGATTTAGGGTTTTCACCACGAACTATTGATATCATCTATAATACCAAAATCCGAGACCTGTTATCTTAAATCTGATTGGTTCGTCCATAAATTATCATATTGCCGATTTTTCATTTGTGTTCTCGTAGTTGAGCAGCAATTTGTTGATCATTAGAATGATTTATTGCTTATTATTAAACCAGCTCTCGGTTAAGTCGCTTGACAGGAGAGGATATACATTGTTTGTCAGTTTAGGTTATCGTACACAATGTACGAGATACATATATTCAATTCTAGGACGCAAGTACTATCAACGGAATTATAAATTGTGAAACAAAAAGTGTCACAAGACATTTATTGAATGTGTTGCATCTTTAAGCTCGGCTAATTATCACGTGATTTATTCGCCAATCGAAATACGACTTATTCAATCTTAGTACTGTGTCAAACCAATGACGTTCGACTGGTATGAGCAGCCTAGCGTCCCTATTTGTCCTTTGTGTTCCTAGCCCTTCCAGTCGAGTCCAGAATGCCAATAACAACTTCTACTGTGTGAATCATTTATTTCAGACAGTGAATTATCAACCTGACCAATGACTCATGGGACAAATACGAACAGTCTAGAGTCCTTGTCGGTCCTGCTTACTGCCTAGCCCTGCCTGTTAAGTCCAGGACACTAATCTCAACCTCCGCCATATCAATCATATATTTCAAACATACTTGGTTTATATAGTAGCCAAACAGACCGCATTATACCATAAAATAGGAAGTAACATTTATACAAGATCAAGCCAAAAAGTGGCTGTGAACGTGGGAGACGGTAATTAATAAACTGAGCAAAACTTAGGAATAGTAAATTGTATCATAATAGTATATACGTGAAAATAAAGCTTATAATAAGAATACAGATATACAATAGGAATATATATGTATAATATTAGTCCAATAGTTCTCAGAAGTTACCTGTAATTTTATCCTCACAAGGATATAACAATGCATTTTAGAAGTCACTACAGATTTCTAGCAAGAACATGTGAGATTTTTGAAAGTTCTGTAACACTACGGTGGAACATCAGATTTTATGGTGACGTCGGCATGGCAAACAAGCGAAATCCAAAAAGTAACAAGCTGTTACATTGTTTAGAGTAATCCTTCAAATGAATTACCTTCCCTTTCTATACATATTTCCGGAATTTCTTTTATATAGTTCCCAGATCATTGTTTTATTATATGGACCCTTCAACTACTTTGAACAAAGATGAAAAAATCTCTAATTAAAAGTAGAAAAGCGATCAAGCATATGTTGATTGTTATTAGCATCAATTCATTTTTAATGAAGATAGTCTGCTTTAAATCTCAACCGATTATAAACCATAGACAAACTCGCAGTCAATTATCATTAATGAGGAACCTGACACAGATGTTCGTTTTCCAATGTCAAACCACAATTAACACGACGAGAAGAAATTAGCAATGTGTATAAAGCATAGACATCAAAATAATATAGTATCAATGACAATATCAACGACTGAGCATTCGGAATAGCGAACGAAGTGACAGTGGGTAAAGGAATAAGTTGATTCAAGATTGAGAAGGTAAAGGGTGAATCGATCCACGCTACCGTGAATGATTCTGAACCATTTCACCTAAAGCTTCTGACTACTGACTGGAGTTATCGCTTGGACCCCTGTTATATCCTAACGAAGAATAGTAATTGCTAGGAATTATTTATGGACTATTATTACCTATATTCCTATTGGATAATTAATGACTATATTCATATTACATTTAACCTATCGACTACTCTCATATGATTTATTATCAGTTACAATCTCTCACAATAACAGCCACTTTTGGTTTGATTGTGTATAAGTGTTATTATTTTATCTTATGGTATGTGGTCTGGTTTCCTTGTATATAAACCAAGTATGTCTGAAATATACGATCTATACAGAGGAAGCTGATATTTGCTTTCTGGACTTGACAGGTAGGGCTAGACGAGAATAACCAATAAGGACTCTACACTGCTTCTACAGATCAACGTTATTAGTTTGATACAATGTTCTAATTAGTGATTAAGTCACGTGATAATCAGCAAGGAAGAAGCCAGAACAATCTCAACTATTTAGTTTGTATCTACTTAAAAGACCTAGATCAACAGTCAATGGCTTCATAGTCTGATATCATGTTTTGGTTTAGAAGCTCCAGAAAAGCTCATCAGTTACACAGAGCTAACATATACACCCCTTTCTCCATATTATTTTAGCGCTCAGTGTGATTATTAAAGCATAAACACTCTAAGTTTCTTGTTAGCGTTAGTCGGGTTCAACCAAACGATATTGAACGTTCAAAATGACTAGATCGAAATATGATGAATATTTTTTTACGATTGCTTATAATAATCCGATTAAGATAATACTTTAATAATTATAATATGGTCTCAACTATTGTTTGCATATGTCAATTATAGAAAAGATCATGTTAACATTGAATAGTGTTTACCAGTTTGTGGCTCACAACTGGACAACATGACAAATTAAACACATTTCAATTATTAATCAGAAATGTCAACTGTTTCAACACTGAATTCTTCCTCATTATTATTATTATTGCCATCAAGTAATATAACAATTCAATCTCATTAAAAGAGAATTACCTATTTGCACTGTTGTTATTCTGTTTTATTGTTTGTTTGTTGCATTTCACAATAATGAAATATCTAAATGCATAAGAAGAAATTAATATAGAAAAAAAAGAGAAAAACAAAAAAAGAATGGTTGTTACCTTTTTTGTTGTCAAGAATTAAGTTAATCATTAAATGATCTATCTCCCTCCCCCCTCTCTCTCTCACACACACATATAGATAATGAATGAAAGAAAAATGATAATTGCACTATGGAAAATTGAATAAGAATAATAAATAATCGAGTGAAGAAATATTGATATTGGGATAAAGAATAATGAAATAACCCATTGTCCATGAGATAATGTATGACAATTATAGAAAGAAATAGAATAGACAAGTTGGAGAGAGAATAAGACACAATAAAAATGAAAGTCAAAATGAATTTTACAATGGAATTTTTGTACATTATCAAAAGTTTCATTTTCGGATGAATTATTCAATGATGATAATATTGTTTCAACATCACGAGGTACTACTACTAACTAACTAACTAAGTAATTGTGCGCTACTACTAAATATGAAGAAAATAGTAGTATATTGTTAAGTTGTCATGTTGAAAATAGTACAAATTGTTGTCTGATGGAAATATACACATCTATACAAATTAAGACACATACACACATACATACATACATACACAACAGAAGAGAGGAAAATAGACAACTTCTCATTAGTTGACCAATTATTACATGTTGAACAAATAGACAACAACAACAACCAAAAAAAAGAAAGAAAAATGATCACTGTCAATAGTGTAATTAAACAGATCTAGTTTAACGTTGTTTTTTGTGATGACAGAAATTGAAACGAGATCAGTCAAGGAGACAAAAAAGAACAGACAATCAAATTGTTGAGAAGGTAAAACAGAAAAAAGTGATTATGTAATGACAGGGAAAAAAAATTCACTGGATAGAGAGACAATATGCAGAATAGATAATAACACTATGTTGTATACAGTTGAAATGATGAAAGGGAGAAAAAAAAGATGAAATAGTGTAGGAAGATTATGTAACAAAATACATCAATTATTTATTACAAATGTAAAACTGAAGTGGATATACATAAGAGAATAAATGTTAGTAAATGATATTCTATTTGAGAAAAGTACATTATGATGTGACCGTTGTTTGAAATGGATAGCATAATAAAGTATATAACATTGCCAGATAAACATTCTTTCATTTATTCATATACATACACAATGTATAAATAAGATGATAGTAATTCAGTAGTATCCTAGATAAAATGAAATAAAATGAAAAGCTTTAGAACAAACCACCAAATATAGATGTAGTTATATGCACAATCAATGGTAATTATACTAAAAAGATTAAAAAATTGAATTGGTGTGTGTGTGTGATGGTATACTCTCCAGGTGCCCAAACCAGAGCAGTTTTTGTAGGGGGGGGCTCTCCGAGCCTTTGACCTAGATGTCCAATCCACAAAGCAGTGGAGCAACGTCAGGAGATGCAGTCCCATGGTAGCCGGTGAACAACAATAGGGTCACACCCCATTGTTCGTTCAGGATCCTAGAGCCTATGTGAACTATTGGTTTGGCATTAATGTTTTTTAACTCTTCTGTCGGCGGACCCTCTGTACCCACCAACCCAGATAAAGCTCCGGATACTCGCCATCTCAATTTTCCAAACAACACCCTCGCTGAGAGAAGGGAGTGACCAGGACTTCCCTGCCAGTGACTACATACAAACATCCGAATGACAACATTTGTAGAGCAAGAGCACGCTTTCCCTACCCTCTGTCATACCAGCGTATTTGAAGGTTGGATCAAATTCTGATACCCACTGAATTATGTTGACATTAAGTAAATGTTAGCAGTAAGAAAACATAAGTTAGACGCTGAAAGCATGAATCTATCAAGCATATGATATGACATTGTGCAATATCATCAGGATTCAAAAAAATGAAATTTGAATGGATGAGTACTACAGACTACTACTACTACTATTATAGCCCTGAGCCATGTTGCGAATAATAATAACAATTAATCATAAAGGGAACACGTATTTCTAATCTTTTTATAAATATTATTCCCACGTATATTTGTTTTTCAGTGTTTGATACTTCTAATGTCTATTTTGACATATTTTCGTTTCCTGGTGTCACGGAGCATGGGTAAAGTGGATTTACAAATAATGCAGTGCTGTCCTTACAATGATAGTTTCAACATCCGCACCAAGAGGAGCTGACAAAATTGAAGGCAACCAAATGCAGATCATATTCAAAGAAACAACTTATGCTACCTGAAAATAATCATTCGATGTTTATTGAAAAGATACTATTGCCGAATTACGTCTAAATATACAGATGGGACAGAAGTAATTCAACAGTTATATGAATTTAAATTGACTAATTCACTAGGTATTTGGGTATAATGAGCCATAATCCAAGTGTAAAGATTAGTGATATTATTCGGTTGCTTAAACCGAAGTGAAGTGTGGTTCCAACCTTGGATTAAGTGGCTAAAAAAATGCAATTCGTTTAGGACCCATATACGTCGATAAAGACTGATCACTTGTAACGGTTAACAACAACAACAACGAGCAAATAGATCTACTAACATTTAAATGACCAGTTAAATAGTGTTTGACTAGTAATTGTGTTATTTAGTGGTATACATTACGAAATATTTTCTTAGAGGAATTAAATATTTCAATGGAAAGTTAAGAAAGTGACACAAGAATACATCTCACAATGGATCTACATCATGGAGTGAAGGTATTGAGAACAAGAGCTTATTTGTATATAGTTTCACCTTTGTCTACAACTTTTTGCTTGTGAACATTTACTAACTTACACCTGTTACTTCCAATGGAGCATAGGCCACAGACCAGCATTATCCAGCCCAATCTATCCTCTGCCTTCCTTTCTAGTTCTATCCAATTGGTCTTCATACTTCTCATATCTGTCTCCATTTCTCGACGTAATGTGTTATTTGGTCTTCCTCTTTTCCTTTGTTTAGCCTTGAGGATTTCAAGTAAGGGCTTGCCTTGGTGACGCAGTCGAGTGCTTTCCTCAATGTGTGTCCTATCCACTTCCTCTTCTGGGATCTGGTTTGTTCTCTCCCATAGTAGGTTGTTGCTGATAGTGTCTGGCCAACGGATCCGAAGTATTTTGCGTAGACAACTGTTAATAAACACCTGTATCTTCTGGATGATGGCTTTCATTGTTCTCCAAGTTTTCGCCCCATACAGTAAAACTAACTTTACATTTGTGTTGAAAATCCTGATTTTGGTGTTGGTTGACAGACAGTTGTTTTGAGTTCTATATGTTCTTCAGTTGTGGATATGCTGCTCTAGCTTTTCCGATCCGCGCCTTCATATCTGCATCAGATCCACCATGCACACCAATGATGGTGCCCAGATATGTAAATGTTTTTACATTCTCCAAAGTGTCTCCGTCAAGTGTGATTTGATTGTTACATGTTGTGTTGTATCGGAGAATCTTGCTTTTCTCTTTGTGTATGTTGAGACCTACTGCTGCGTAAACATTTACAAGCATACGCTATTCAACCAAGAAACATCCATATAACTTGAATTACATACCCTACAGATCTTGAATATAGATTGAGAGAAAATTTAAAATCATAAAAAGATGTTCAGAAATCCCTTTGTTGAAAATGTCCTACATTACAATAACTTACATGGTTCATTTATTTGAATGGTTTTTTTGTTGCTAAGAAGTACAGTTTGATTGAAAGGAATCTTCATGTATAGTATTAGTATTATTACTTGGACATTTTTCATCATTAATTTTAGGATCAATACTTGTAACTTGATTTGTAGAAAAAGATAAATGTGATTGTTGAAATATCTTTGAAGAATTCGTTTTTAAATTGTCTAACATAGAATCTTGTGATGGACGTCTAGCATATTGATTAGATCGACTTTCATTCACTGATGAAATCATATTAGGAAAAAGATTATGATGAACAGAATTTGTTTGATTTATAACTCCAGTTCGACAAGTAAATATACTACTAACAGATGATCTTTGATCTTTTTTAATTCCTTTAGGCAATTGTAAAGATGAACGTGGAGTTATTAAATTTTCATGTGATGTTTTAGAGTTACGAAGTTTTACTCGTTCCGACTTTGGTTTAGATGATGATACTGGTGTAGATAAATTATTTTTCTTACAAATATTTGATTCACATTTTTCCAATGTTGAAAGATTTACAACAGATTGACTTTTTGAAGCTCTTAATGCTCGTAATCGAGTAGTCATCTCTTTTGGAAGATATGATAATTCTATTGTTTGAATAAAAAAAAATCAAATATTCAAAAATCTAATAACAAATCCTTTTGTCTATAACTTGGATCGGATAGATAGACTATTACTCACATAAACACCATAAAGAATGTTATTGTATTACAGCTATAAATATTAACAGTGATTATCACGAGTTAATGCTGAACATAAAAATGATGTAAAATACCAAGTTGAAATTATGAATTATCTATTCGCCGTTGAGTGGATGAAAGTAAATAGTGAGTGGTTGTCGTATCCAGACAAACTGACAGATTCTCAGTCACAATGTAAAACCTGTATGTACGTACATCGGTCCAAGTTGCCATAGCCGATTAGCGCAGAGAGAGGTTTTCAGGTCAAACGCCTATACACTATAAAACATCGCCCGCCGACGTAGGCGGTCGTTCGACATATGTAACACATGTTCCGGAAATAGATGGTCAAACAGATATCTGATGTTTCAGATATATATATTTTTAGCTTTTGTACTTACTTGATTGTTTATTCATACATGTGCTAGTCAAGTGAATCACGTGTTCATGATTTGACTAATGTGATGTGTGGTAGTGTGGTGTGTGCTACTTATATTGATGTAAGTAGTATATGACGCGAGTTAAAAGCTTAATGTCTGGCAGCAGAAGATGGGGGAAGATCAAGAAAGGAAGAGCGGAAACACAATGCAATTTGTAAGAAAACGCATGAACAATGAAATGTGAGACAATGGATGGATGGATGATTGCAAGAGCAACAGTCTGGTTTGATATGATGGAATGATATTTTACAAATTAACGATTTACTATTTGGTTTTTCTATTTTACAAAGTAACTCTGTAATTTTGTGCTAAATACATTCGATTGTCCCCACCCGTGTGCTGTTCACTACAGTAGTACATTATTTGCTGGCTGAATAACTGGTATAAAGAGGGTTAGTCGTGTATCCAGTATAATCAATCATCTATTGTTCATTCTAAGTATACAAGAGTTCTATTAGTGAATCAGAAGAAATTGAACGTTCTTTCATTGATGACAAAAATGTGCATTCCATCAATAATGACGCTATAACTCTGAAATAGTTTCAAAACTAACTACACGTAATACAAGCAACTGATATCGTACATTAATAATGACCCTGTCAAACATAAGTCAATACAAATCACGAATCGTCTTTTCTAATTAACATAACTTTCTTCTTAATTTTGTCTCTCCTTTCTTACCAATATGATTATGTCAGTAAATTGTAGTGGATTCTGTAATTATTTTCAGATTATATTTATATTATAACAAAAATTGTGAGACTTTACGAACAAATCAAAAGGTTTAACGTATGTTTTACATCAATGTGTAGATTGAACAATAACGAGAACGTCATGCTTTACGTTACGAACTGATTGTAGTAGGTGGTAGACAGCCATTGAAAACAAAGATATGTTTGACAGCTGTTTCATCCCAGTGTATAAGTGGACATCTACAACGCCGTTATAAGTTGAGCCAAGAACCTACAGGTCTTGCGGCGAACACTTAGTCTTTACACAACTGAGCGGGTATCCAGTGGTCTAAATGCTAGATGACTGCAGTTGGATACAAAATTCCTGGATTCGAACCTGTCTGATTAGGTCGAAGACGCCCATTTCTGAGGATTGCTTATACTAGACCAAAACAACTGTCCAATATTTCCTTGTTTTAAATGGTTGTCTATCTAAGATCAGTTCGTTGTGTAGACCATGAAAATCAGCATCCTTCACAAACTCTATATGGTAGTGACAGAGATAAATATTTTCATGAAAAACTTTACCTTGTTCCGTAAATTGATTCAAAAAATTCGGCGCCGGTTTACCACTAGGTAAATAACCTGTTGCATCGATTGAATGACCAGGTGGTGGCAAGATGAGATCATTAAAAAAACAGCAACTCAAAATATTACAAGCAGTCATACGAGTTTTGGGACTGTAAACTAACAATTTTCCAAGTACATAGAATGCTGCTGTATTGGTACTTCGATTACGAATAAGCTGAAATATAAAGAAGGATGTGAATGATAACACATGTACAGTTATCACATTACGTACCTTATATATTACTGAACTAAAAACACAGTCCTCTTTACTATCCAAGATCAATAAAATGGTTTATTACCGAAAAAAAGTTTTATCATGAATACAAAAAGAAATTTTCAGTATAGGGGTTGTGGAGATTGTGAAGTTTTTGATTGAGATCATGAATCAATTGATGTTAGACCACCGTTGGAAACCTGGAAGCAGTGGACGGCCGTTTCATCCTAGTATGGGACTCCTCAGCAGTGCACATCCACGATCCCGCTCCCCGCGAGATTCAAACCCAGGACCTATCAGTCTCGCGCCAGGCGCTTAACCAACTAGACCACTGAGCCGGCATCCAATGGTGTTAGTGTCTAACATCAACCAATCCACGAAATTGCGCGACCAACTTCTATTGTACTGAGGTAGATACGTGCCTCTACCCGACACGGATTAGCTCCACTGGTCACGGCCGTCCAGTACTTCCAGGTTTCCAACGGTGGTCTAACATCAATTGATTCATGATCTCTATCAAAAAGAAATTTGTTGATACAATTTGATCGAATGTACTCATTTAACCATCCTACAATCAGTTAAGTTTCATCTAGTAAGTATACTTATAAACAGAAAAGTTAATCAATATAAAAACTTGCAAAACAAAAGCTTAAATTAAAGAGGAAGAAGAATGTATTTGTAAAATCTCAACGAATGAATTTAAAATCTAACATTTCACTTGGCAATCTGGTCAAAGCTTTTCCTCTTTAATGTCTCACATCAACTCGGAGCCCAAAATACAATAAAACTATTCGATCAAATTTAGACGAAAGTTCTTATTCAAAAACTGATATTAGCCAAATTATCATGAACTTATTCAACATCTGGAAATAATTAGCATTTTATTGATCTAGACCTTCCTTTGTGTTTTCAACTCAGAGGTTAAAAGTTTTGCTATTATTATTTTTTTCGAATTTTTAATAAAGTTAAATAACGTTATTCATTCTAACAATGTGTAACTCCATGTTTTTCACTAGAGTAACCGATTGATGCAACACAATGAATTTTCTCAAGATACATGAGCATAGTTGGTATCCTCTCCAGAATACTGACACTATAATTACACAAAATTTTCGAATTTGCAGCCTGACATGGGCTACAAATCATATTACAAATAATTGAGATCATGAACTGATCAATGTTAGACCACCATTGAAAACCTAGAAGCACTGGACGGTTGTTTCGGACTAGTACGAGATTCCTTAATAATGTACATCTACGATCCCACACATAGAACGTGTACTCAGGATGGCCATCCAGTGCTTCCAGGATTTCAGTGGTGGCTTGGTTCATGGTTTCAGTGAAATTCAACAATTATCACAACCCTATACTGAAGATCATATTAAATAATTTAAAACTATTACAGGTTCCCATCGTATTATTCTAAATTATAACTGGACAATTCTATGGCCTTGCCACCATATATCAGTGAATTTCGGTTTGGTGGCCTAGAGGATAAGCGTTTGCGCACACGATCGGAGTTTCAGGGCCCGACCTATGAAAGAATTGTAACAGCCCAGTTTCAAATGCTTACATACGTCAAATAAGCGGCTACATACAGTGCTTACTGGCTTTCAATGGTAGTGTAGCTAAGACTAAATAGCGATTTAAATTGTGAAAAATGGAAATAGACCGATAAACAGAAAGGATGGAATAAACAACATAAAACATATAAGTAGTGAGGCTGAAAAAGAAACGATAAAGAGGAAACGCAATTGATTGGTCGCTGAGAAGTGACTATAATCGCGACTGTCCCTTTAGAGCTGTCAATCAAATTATATCGACCCAGTTGCAATATGGCCACTAGTCTAACTGATTCGACATCGCCTACATTATATTATGATGCTACTTAGTTGGAGGTGGTCTACAGATATTTCTGAAAGCAGGTTACGTACTAGTTTGACGCTTGTCAACACGGAGTGTCCGTAAAACTGTGGGGGGGAGGAATGATGCTCTCTGAACGACGTGAACTCGCATCGCCCACTCTAACACCCTTAAAGGATAGCACCGAATTATTCAGACCTGAGTGGGTTAAGTAGGCTTGGATCAGTCCCCTTAAGTTTATTTTATTTATTTATTTGAACACAAACATTGGTACAAGGGGGCATCAAATACATATACGCCACACAAAAACAATGAGGCCAGTAGCAGTCATCATTGATTTATTTGAGGGCTGTATACATCCCGGGTGTCAAAACCAAGGTAGGTGGTTCTCTTAGGGATGCACACTCGGAGTCTATGACCCGAAGGTCTGATCCACAAGGCAGTGGAGAAACGTTAGGAGATCCAGTCCCATGATAGTCTCTGACCAACAATAGGTTCATGTGTCATTTATTCCCTCAGGATCCTCGAGCCAATATGCACCATCCGTTTGGAATCAGGGTTTTCCAACTCCCCCAGGTAGTATTATATATATCCACAAACCTGGTTCAAGTCCCGGACATTCGCTTTTCGTCCTCTGAATTTCGTAAACATCTCCGTTGCGAGAAGGCAGTGAGTAGGACTTTTCTGACAGTGGTTGTATACGTGTGGCCATGTGAGAGCATTTGGAGAGGGATAGCTGACTCTCGGCCGTATCAGGACATTTGAGGGCTAGTCCTCTTAAGACTATGGTGACACTCCATTTCGATACCCAGTCGAGTACATGAGTTAGTCTGACTGATAATTCTAGGTTGCCATATTTATAGACTAAGTGGAACAAGCCATCAAACCCTGTTATGACTTGAATTCAGTTTAGTTACAACCACCTTAACTTTTGTCTATTGATCAGTCGAATTATAACCATGAAATATTAAACGTATACTGAGTATCTAAAACTACCACTTATCATCTCAATATAGTGTAAACGATGCAGAGTAATACAGAGAAGTGACAGTATTGCAATTTGATTGATAAAATTCGACTGGCAACACAGGAGAAAAATGACATTGGTCATTACTCGAAGATCGGTCAAATGTAAGTACCGCAGTCCTACAGGCTAGTCGCTTTCCGAACAGACCAGTGATGATGTCCTTGATTGTGAAGCTGGAAGACACGGGATCCAATCCGAGACATCAGTTCTCTCAATATTACAGGTACACCTTGTTGACGAGTGCCAAATAACATGGAACGTAGGTCCAAAGTATTCTGTTAACTAACCTCCAACCATGTAACATTTATGAAAATGTGCAAAACAGTTAAAATTGTTTTTCGCGGGCTTTTATGAATGCAGAATAATAAACCACAATAATGTTTATACAAGACTCTCACTTTTTCCCATGAACATCCTTGAATATTTGGAAATTTGAATTCGCTATAATGAGGATTCATTTCATGGATTTGTTCACGCGTTGGAGTACCAAGAACTTTGATAATTTCAACTAATTGATCAACTCCTGATTCGCCTGGAAAAAGTGGTCGACCTAGTAAAAGCTCACCAATAACACAACCAGCTGACCACATATCTAAATAAACAGAACAAAAAGACATAAATCATTATTAGAAAGGATTTTAATCACACTGTCCTTGATATTCGTGGTTAGCACATGTGGATTATGTGAAGATTGTTTTAATATAGCCAGTCTGCCACAATTTATTATAAAACTGACGGACTTTGGATAGCAGTGGAATCCAGGACTCACTCTTTGTTTTATTTAGGGCTTGTCAGCTAGATATGCTTGCATCGCAGTATTAATGTCTACAGTGAGATTCAAATCCAATACTCTTTGTTTCAAATATTCGACGCGTTATCCACTGAGTTACTAAGTCCAGGTAGTGATTTACTTGTTTGACGGGTATGATATTTACATCATGTATGTACCACGCTCATCCAGTTGACGAATTCCAAATATAACAAAACGTGCGCCCTGGATTCTACTATTAGCAACAATCTATCTATTCCAAAGAAAGATATTTGTTACTTGAAATTATAATGGTAAAATGACTTAATTTGCCATTTAAATCGGTGTGATAAAGAATCAAAAGATTACAAGCAAACAACAAACTAATTACTTGTGAAGATATTAAAGAAGAAAGAACTATATATAAATAAATAGGAACAGTAAAAGACTGACTTTGTTTAGTTAAAACATACATTTTAGGTTTCACAGCTTCAGTAGGAGCTGCAAAATGGTTATCATCGACCTCTAGCAGCAGACATATTTGATAGTCTCGAGACACTGAGTGGCACGATAGTTGATACAACTAAGGGATTTGTGACACACTATCAGTTGCCAATCCAATACAGCTATATTTTATCCCACGACTATATGTTTTAAAAACATAGTAATCCACTTTGTACCCTTTGGTTTAGACTTTAGTAAGTATTGTGCGTTATAGGACGATGTTCACGATCATCCCATTGAAAATGATATACCGAGATCGTGGAACCAACCGAATTATCACTATTATGCCCGAATAAGACCGGGACCCAGCATTATTTACATGGTGTTGCTACTAGATGTGAAAAATTCGCCAGAAATAATGATGATCGAGCATGAGGAATAGTAAAACATCCTTAACTCAGAAAGGACACGTTTCACAAGCGTACAGCAGAATCTCTGCCAAAACGAAACAGTTTTATGTGTGAAAAAACACATTCTCATGGTAGCTGACGACCAGAAGTTTTTAAAAATCATAGTTTGGTAACTTGGGGGAAATAACTTCTGAAGTTAAACAAATCAAGTGAACCAGTATCAATCACTTGATTCCTTCCCTGATGAAAACCTTAGTACACATGAGTGGTTTGTAGTATTTATACAGAGATTTGCATTTAGCAAGAAACAAGAGAGCTCTCTGAAGTACAATTTTTATAGGTTCTTTTTAATACTTCAGATAAGGGACAGTAGGGGACTAGAATTTATTGACAGAAATCTTATATTGAAGTGAAACAAATAAATATGGTTACCTATTTGTACAGTATAATGAGTAGCGCCAAATATTAGCTCTGGTGCACGATAATACCTTGAACAGATATACGAAACATTTGGTTCATCAGGATTTAACATCTTAGCACTACAATACAAAATTGATTAAAGAACATGTGAGACCAAGAAAAGTGTATTAATTATCCTAAAAAAAATCACTTGTTTTCATCCTACAACATAAATAAACAAATCAAAAATCAAACAAATAAATACATGCTTTGAATTAGACCCGTTATAGGCAACCCTTTCATTATTGAGTTACTGCCATATCAACATTCAAGAGAACCCAAAACTTGTATTTGAAAAAAAATTGCAAACCTAAAACCTGGATAGATAAACATAACATAAACTAGAGTGTTTTTAAATATGTAACACTGACGGGTTTGATAGGAAGATATATAGTCCATATTAATACAGGTTATTTAAAGTATTAACTGACACGGCTTATCTAATCATCACGAAAAAACTTTGGATAGGATAATATCACCTCTGACATAGTTGCCCATCAATCCGTTAAACAGAAGGGAATTTATTGAGATCATGAAGCGATCAACGTTAGACCAAGATTAAAAACCTGGAAGGACTGGAAGAATGTTTCATCCTACTATGATTTCAATAAGAACTCAACAATCTCCACAACCTTATACTGAGAAGAGAATTTATTTAAATTCATGCAACTAGGAAATAAGCTTATATTTCATAATAAATTAATATTTGATGTGATATATGGAATTCGTCACTATACACCAACTTCCTTGAATATGAGAAAGCGTTTAACAGCATGGATAGAAGAACCTTGTGGAACCTTATTATACACTATGGTGTAACTGAAAAGATCGTCAACATCATACGGAATTCATACGATGGACTACACTGCAAAGTCGTGTATTGAAGACAGCTGACAGATTCATTCCAAGTAAGAACCGGGGTCAGATAAGGTTGGTTAGACTCTCCCCTTCCTTTTCTTCTAATTGACTGGATTATGAAGACCTCCACATCTGACGGGAAGCACAGAGTACAACGGACAGCTTAGATGCAACTAGATGGTTTGGAATTTGCAGATGACCTGGTCCTTCTATCCCATACACACCTACAAATTCAGTTGAAGACAGCCAGTGTTGCAGCAACCTCGACTACATCAATGTGCCTCAGCCTACATATAAGAAAAACCAAGATCCTAAAATATAACACGAAGAACACCGACACAATCACACTTGATGCAGAAGCTCTGGAAGAGGTGAAAACTTTCATATACCTTGACAACATCATCGATGAACAAGGAGGATCTGATGCAGATGTAAGGGAGAGATTTGGCAAAGCAAGGGCCGCATTCCTACAGTTGAAGAACATATGGAACTCAAAACAACCATCAGACAACATCAAAGTCAGACTCTTCAAGAATCGTCAAGACAGTTATACTGTACGGAGCTGAAACTTGGGGAACTACTACAACCACCATCAAAAAGGTGCAGACATTTATAAACAATTGCCTACGTAAGATACTCAATATCCATTGACTGGATACCATCAGTAACAGCCTACTGCGGGAGAGAACAAACCAACTTCCAGCTGAAAAGGAAATTAGGAAAAGATAATGGAAATGGACAGGACATACATTACGGAAATAACCAAACTGCATCACGAGGCAAGCACTAACTTTGAATTCTGGAGGGAAAAAGGAAAAGAAGACCAAGGAACACATTGTGTCGGGAATTGGAAGCAGACATCAAAAGGTTGAATAGAAACTGGAAAGAATTAGAAAGGATTGTTGAGGACAGAGTTGGATGGAGAATGATGGTGGGCAGCCTATGCTCCTACACGAGGGGCAACAGGCGTAAGTGATATGGTATGGTGCCCAATACATAGAATAAAATCTGCTTGATACAAATTTATGCTTAAGTTCCATAGTCAATAATTCAGTTAGTGAATTTACTATGAATTGATCAACCTAAAACTTTGGGTGCTTCGATTAAGCTTGATGTGATGACAGATGGTGGAAATACAGATATGGGGTTAGTATTTAACTTACATGCTTGTGGAGGAGACAGCACATTCGATTTCTTGTTAAACAGCACTTTAGTGAGATATTTTCTGGCATGCTATTGTGAGTCTCGGTAAATGATGTTACATATGAAATTATTAAATACTTTTGTTGCATTGATGATTCGATGGCATCGTTAACATTCAGTGAAAATAACGACCGTAGCTTTTACTATGACATGGTAATGGACCCTGGAAATAATGATGACCCTACTAACCTATAACACTTGTTAGTGAGGTGAGAAAGTGGCTAGCAATAGGATTTTAGAAAAGGCAGTTTCGTCTCACTAGAGTCGTCAGGTGGACGAAAAAGGATGACGCTTTAATTATTGTCTGAATAATTTCCGATAGAATATCTTTGAAACAATAGCTGGTTGACTGGATGCTTTAATTCCAACACAGGAAAATGTTCACGATAAACATTAACTAGTTCGAAGGTCTGCACAAATGAGTGATGTTTAAGGGTATCGTTACTTAATAAGCCCATTTTTAGATATGAAATATTAAACTAACTTATTATCAAAGGTTCAAGAATTCCTACACGTTAGTAGTGATAATTTTGAGAACAATTAGATAGACAAGATAGTTGTAATTTGCTTGTACTACTTACCTCCCAAAATCGCAAATTTTCAATAAACCTTGATCTGGATGAATTAATAGATTTTGAGGCTTTATATCTCGATGACATACACCTTGATTGTGAATGTAGGCCAATCCACGTAGAAGTTGAAAGCTATACAACTGCATAATAATAATGATGATAACAATAAGACTGGTGATAACAGTATACAGTGTTTATTAAAAATTCATCAAATATAGAATTAAACTATTTGGAAAAGTCAGTTATCATCAACGTAGAGCTTGGCACAGATAAGAGTTGTCGCAAGTTATCATACCACTTCTGTGGCAGTGCCTGTCATTGAAGGCTGTACCAAAGAACTACGTCAACCTTGTTCAGGCACTACTCAAACACTACTGATCGAGACAGAGCTTATGGTGAGCCGTCATCGCAACTGATTACTTCAAGCGGTGTTTGTCGGGATTATTTACTTTCTACAACTTCTACTTAACCTTGTCACAGACCGATGCATATATGTGCCTGGTCCTACGTTGTAGCTGACTGACTTGTCACAGACATGCTCTTATAAATAATGCTTATTGTCTGACTTTTTAAGGGTTGATGTTCGACCAGGGGATTCACCTATTAATTCAGAATACGAAGATAATATGTTTTTTTTATTACACTGATAAAATGACAGGAATCTATCCGCTAATAAAAGGACAACTTTACTATCCTACTTTGTGGGTGTGAACAATGGTCATAAAAAATAAAGGATATTTGTAGGTCACTAGTATCCAGATATCTCCGAAACATTGTTTATTTTGTTGCGCCAGTCGAGTTTTTTATTTGTGATTGCTTATCCAGCCATATAAGCCTGAAATGCTGACTTTGAGGCTCCAAGTAGATCAGTTGAAGATCCATCAAATCCGAAAACGATGGCACTTTGTTGACTGTTTTGGAATGTAACATAACTAGTCGCTCCCAAAATAACAAGGCTTACAGGTTGCAACAACAACCATTTTAGAGGAAGAGGTTATAAAGGCTGACCGTATGGAAAGTAGATCAACCATTCCTAATGTTGATCTAGTATTGGGCAAGTTAAGAGCGTTGACACGACCACACAGAACTGAGATGAGACACTTCCAAAAATATTAAATGCGAATAGTACTTGTTAGGATAAAGCTTTTATAGTTAGGCTCCTAGGCCGGTAGAAACAAGAGAGTAAGGTATGCTCTATGTAATAACAAACCTGAATCACTTTAACAAAACTGCCAGTTAGTAGTTGGCTTCAACATTGATAATGAGTTACTAGAAGCAATCGGGAAGTTTGGGCACTTGGAGAGCTGTGTGCTTACCGATGATCTGACAGCATAGACCGGTCTATGTATAGCAAAATACAGCAGCATTCAGAAATCTGAGTCATCCATAGGGGTTTAGTCTGGTTATAAAATATCACACATTCAACACTGATATGAATTTTTATTTTACACTTTTGCTTTAAGAAGCCGAGGATGCTTCAAATCAGATCATCACTTACATTTGGTAACTATTATGTCAGTTATTCGGTCATAATTAAAATAGATCCTGTAACAAAGCTGAGTTACCTCAAGTTGGCATACCCGATTATCAGACCCAGAAATCAATATGAACGAAGGATGGAAGTTACGACACTATACGACTCAATTCTCAGTTTTTCTGTTTGGTTTACCCTACCTACCTAAATATCTAAAGCATCCGCTACGATTACATCCAAGTTCCTGGATTTTCTATAAAACTTATCTTCTGCTTCATCCACTATCGAGATAAGTTGAAAGTAAAATGACGAACAATGGAAAATGTAGATGAGTATTTGTGAAATTTACAAGGTGCTATAAAAACGAAAATCAAAGCGGCTTGCGAAGTCATGAGGCGTTCCACTGAATTTGTTTGTTCGTGTTTGATTAGAAAGTACAAAGGCAGTTGCTGGATCTAGTAACTGCCGAACTCTACTTCAATCCATTCAAGCCAATTACAGCCATAAGCATGACGGGAGTGAAAACACTGCAAGGATAGTTTTCAAAGACGCCCTGAACGCTGAGAACAAACTAAAGAGCAGTTAAGCTGGTTTACTTCAACTAGACTGTACTATGCTGCACAGAGGGTGAATACCTACTCACTTGAAACAGAACATATTCGAATAGTTTTAGACTTTGAGGTGTCTAACAATATCCAGCTCAGAAAATTTACTTTTGATGCTTTCATAAATGAAGGTGGATACCTACCTAAACAAACGAACGAGTTGTTTGAAAAGATATGGGAGTGAGGTCATTATCGTGAGCTTTTATAAGAACGATATACGTAACGCATATGGTAAATCTACAGTTTTAGTTAACCACTAATCACATCTAAATTATTTACTTTTTTCATATAAGTTAGAAGAAATTCGTGGATGGATTGTAAGGAGCAGATTGGTTTTGTATCAAATAGTGGATGCCTTTACTACGTTTCTATCTTGTGCTCAAGGCTTCAAAACTATCACATCATAAGTCAACAATCACCGGGTTTAACAAACAAAACCGCAATCCACTGATCCAACAAAAGTTCTCTAGCTATTTATTTGAGAAATTTGTTAACATCTTGGTTATAAACAACAATACTTTATACACAATGCAAACACTTATTTAACTTATGTAACTTATTTACTCAGCACATGAAGTCGAATCTCAGCCACACTGTTTGTGCGAGGGTTAATGATTTTACACATAACTAAAGTGGATTATATATTATTCGAACATGTTGAAAGTCAGGTGCTCCAACCACTAAGTCATTTTTAATTTTTTTACCATTTCAAACCAGTAGTGAGGCTAAACGGGATTGTTTGATGGCGATCTTGTTATTAACGACGTACTATAAATAGCTTTTAAGTACGTGATGATGGTGTACATCTATAGTACCGGGCGAAAACTTAATATGCAGCAAAATAAATAATACTTAGATCTCACTTATTCAGTTGGTAGTCGGCGTTAGTAAGTAAGATATGTACTTTGTACCATCGAAATCCAAAGTACACCTTGAGCGCTGGGGGGAACTTATATCTACACTTTATGGAAAGTCACCAGAAGTAATGGAGAAGTTAGAGTGTCTGAGTAGCTCTGAGTGCTGCTAGAGGTGATGTAGACGACGAGGCCAACCTATGTTTAGTGAAAGATAACTGCTTGTACTAATTCGAAACATTTCTTGTGCCGCTGCGATAAGTTTGCTAGTATAGGGTGAGTGAACACATTGTCGCCGTAAAGGGTTACACTATTAACCTGTAAAATGTGATCTTTCTGAGTCAATGATGTTTGCTGACTGTTTGTGATTAAGGTTATTTTGTTTCGTATGTTGCTACCTTTAAGAATTAATTATGTCGTATCCAGTAGTTTCATTATTGAGATAGAACAACCCATCTAAAAACAATAACGATCATTATTTAAATGGTCAGCCTAAAACATTAGCTTGGCAGTTTGACCATGACTTAAGTATGGTTTCCGTGTGGCTTTGCACTGCAAATGTATGAGTAAAGAGGTGACATGATCCAGGAATAAGGCAGCTGTGTCCAATTAGCATACCTTGGTGCTCTGTGAATCGTTGAATTATATAACTGAGTGATTTGGGGTCAGAAATTCAGTAACTCAAAAGAAAAAATCCGTATAAAAATTCAAGAAGTCGATGTTTATCAACCAATACCCTCTTACCTTAACATATACAAGTGGAATTATCTGCCGAATACGCCAGTAGTGTTTGATAAGGCGACTCAATGTTTGAGGAATGTATTCTTGTATTAAATTTAAGTAAGTTTCATTTGGTTTCTATGGGACAATTAACAAATAAACTACTGAAACTTACTGACGATGATGTTGAATAAAAGTAATAATACAGAGAAACAATATTGCAGTGCTTAAGTTTTCGAAGTATTTGTAATTCACGGTTCTACAACACAAGTTTTGGTTAAGAAATGAAAATCACCAACTTTATACCGCTTATCTTGCAGAACCTTTTTAATTGCAACTTTTCGATCGTCAGACAAAGTAGCAATGTAAACAACACCAAAAGAACCGCTTCCAATAGCTTTTTCATCCGTATACGTGATTTGTACGGGACAAGAAGTATCACAGTTAACTGCTTCAACCCATATAGACTTGGGTTTGTCATCTGACAATCAAACGTAAAAGTCAAAATATTTATCAGAAGTACACAATCTTTACATATAAAGCAAAACGATCAAGTAAAGTATGTCATCACTAGGAAATATTAGCATCATAACAGTCGCATCAAGCACAACAGGGATATATATATATATATATATATATATATATATATATATATGCCCCCAAACGCCCTGGTATGGCCGAGAGTGGGGTGGGTTCGCCCTCCCTCTCGCAATACTCTCACACGGCCGCGCGTATACAGCCTCTGCCAGGGAAGTCCTACTCACTGCCTTCTCTCACCACCGGGGTGTTGTTTACGAAAATGAGAGGACGAAAAGCGAATGTCCAGCGCTTTAACCGGATTCCAAATCTATGGTGCACATGGGCACCAGTATCCTGCAGGAACAAATGGCGTATGAACCAATTGTTGGTCACCGGCTACCATGGGACTGCATCTCCTTACGATGCTCCACTGCCTTGTGGGTTAAACCTTTAGGTCATAGGCTCGGGGTGTGGCCCCCTAAGATAACCACCTGCTACGGTCTGGGCACCCGGGCAGTATCGCAGCCCACACGCAATTATTGAACTGGAATTGTGTGGCGCATATATATTTGGCGCACTCCTGTACCAATATATATGTGTTCAAATAAAATTATATATATATATATCAGCTAGTTTCCTTTAATCGCTTATAAGATTTTACCCCGTTTATTCTGTAGGTAAGCATGTTATTTATCTGGCTAGTGGTTTTGTTTTTGACTCCTAATTATTCGGGGGCCTAATTCATATACGGTGTCGCGTATAACCATCACGGTCACATTAAATCATTGCGTTCATCTATGGATTTTAACAACCACTATAACAATCTTAAATGTGAATTTGCATATATCTAACTTCTAAGCAATAAAAGCAACAGATTGGCGAATACAAACAAGTATATGCGTGGAGTTAAGCTAATTTAGTCTAGTTTAAAATAATCTATACTGGCAGGTCATTTTGTATTAGATAAGCACGTTACGATTCAACACTAGAGTCCAAAATATAATTAAAACAATTAGACGGATTCGTAGGGTTAGTACTTCTGTATTTATGACGATGCTCGATCATACAATGGACGAAAGTTAGATCTATAAGCATGTGGTGGTTTACTTATGCATACGATGATACGAAATGATATTCTTTTTTCGACGACCAGGCCAGCACAACTCTAAGGACATGATAGACGAGTTCAAAGACCAAGAATAAACCTTATCCACAGGCAATCTGTGTCTTTTAATGCACAAACCAACCAGTCTTAATAAAAATAGACCCTGCAACAAATATGGGCTAGAAAAAGTTGCTATACCATACCAACATAAAATTGATAAACATAATAGAGCAGAATCAGGAGTACTGGTATGAATATTAGTGAGAAAAACTAGATATTGGGAAATATAATCAGGAGCGAAGTTACAAAAGGTGTGGAGATACTAGAACACAAGATTTAGAAAATAAAATGGACGCATCTGCATCTTTGTGGCCGATTATGAGCACAAAAGCTATGTTAATGAGAAACTGTCATAGCTTGCTACGCGGGATTTAACGTGTGTTAGCGGTTAGTTAAATAGTTCAACTACTCAATGTTTTCAGATTCTTGAATCAGAATTTTGTTTTGGTGATTTTGGTTACCAATTATTCCAATAAGAAGTCAGATAAATAATAAATGAGGTTGTCAAAATATAACCATATGTTAAACTGAGTGAATGTACTACATAGCTTGATAATTTTAATTTCGATAATTTCTTATTAAATTCTCCTTGGAATGATATCACAAATCATATGAGCTTGGTGATGTACTCCCGGTCGATAACAAGCGCAAATGAAAGTATACGATTCAAGGACCCCTTCTAATTGACTTGACTTTTACCGGACAAGAGCTTGAGGAAAGATACTAGCCGAGTTAGTTTTCACTGGGTACTAACTTTTGGCAAACGAAATGAGGAAAATTTGTGCTGATATAGAGTCAATATCTATTAATATAACCAAGAGTGATCAATTTCCCTCGGTCATGTATACTATTGTGAGGTTTATTCGAGCCGGAAACCGAACATTGTTGGAAGATTGCCGTCTAAATGTATCTTGAAGATACGAACATGTACTAAGGACCTACTAGTGAATAAAGCTAGTAAACATTTGTACGCTAATTATGACATTACCAGCCCTTTGGTCATATTGCCAATCATAAAATAAGTCACAGACTTGTAGTTTGGAGAAATAAATGAAAGGCTATTGCGAAATAATTCGACGTTTTAAACTAACCTTGTTTTCCATCTGGGAAACAACGGATGGGATCCCTAAGTAATCATGTAATAAAAAGAGAAAAAATGAACATTAGCAACCCATTACATGTGTAATCTGAAGAAATAATGATTTTGACTTACTAGGAATTTTTGAAAGACAACTATCAATAGATTCGCTGTTCGCTTTTGCCTTTAATTCTACAGAGGTCATAACACTACGTAGTTTTGGAAACGCGCCAACATTGCCGATTCCGCCAACGCGCGGTAGACAGAATTCAAATGGTTCAAATGGTTGTGGACGGAATAGAAGAAGCTTTCGCTTAACAGGCTTCCGTGTCTAGTAGCACGGGATCACCAAATCCTCCTGGCAGGAACCTAGGTATGTCAACAATAAAACAGGAAAAGAAATTAATAAATCATAATGCGATACTATCCTTAGTCCTTAAGAATAGATCAAGTTGCCTCTTAAAGGACTACTGGGAAGTCGCTTGGACTAGCTCCGCCGGCAGCGAATTCCAGCATTTGACAACTCTTAAGGAGTAGAAGTTGTGTCTACAGTCCGTTCTGCCATGTTGTGTCTCCAGTTTCTGGGTGTTACCTCTTAGTTTAGTGTTGGAACTAAGCTTAAGTAGGTGTTTGAGAGGATGTCCAGAAGCGGTAAGGATACTATAAGCCATCAGAAGGTCACCTCTTAGACGTCTATACCGTAACGGGCAAAGGTTAAGTGAATGGAGGTGCTCTTCGTAAGGTTTAGATTTGAGTCCTCGAACTGATTTCGTGGCTCGCCGTTGGATACGTTCTAGAGTATCCTTATCCTTTTGTAGTGAGGGTGGAAATACTATGTTTCTGTACTCTAAATGAGGACGGATAAAACTATTGAAGATTGTATGGAAAGTTCTTCCGTCAAAAATGCGCTTCAATGTTAGAAGTGAAGACAAAACCAAAGTCTTATAACCCTTTCTCGTGCATCTTTTTCAATACTATGCTTTAAATTTGCATTCTGTTTTCACATTAACTTAGTTTAACATTTTCTAAAGATGATGCGCTTTAGCATGAGATGAAGATCCGAAAATGAATTATAATGCCGATCTAATGAAAGTATAATTAACATTGTAAAGTCGACTAAGTATATTGTGGACCGGAATAACGATCAGGTTTGCCTTCAGAAATTAACCCATATCTCATACAATCAAATGCAATGTTCTTTTAGCTCACACCTAATTACCATAGATGGACTTTATTAGGCTACATCTGGTTGGCCATCCAAGTCAAACGTAGGTTTGGTAACAAGAGTCGTCTAATTTCTCGTTCCCTTTAATATATTAAAACGTCAAAGCCAAGTTACGATAAGCGTGGGATTCTGTAACCTTAAAAGAGAAGCGTCGTACGTCCTAATCAACATTATCATTTTATTTAACTGTTGGCAACCTTATTTTGTCCTACAGCGACTCTAAATTAATAACTGACATTTGACAGTAATGCTGTACACATTTTTAATCTTTTCGTGAAGAATATACAGACCTGTGTCCGTGTATGCATTACAAACATGCGGACATTTAAAAGATCCCAGGGGGGCAGCAATATTGATTTTAGCTACAAAAAAACAACACATACACTGTTGTCCGATATCTCAGAACGAAACGAATTGACGGTTCATCACATAAAGCAGTTCAGAACAACACTGATTTGAGTGGCAGTGGCAAAAACCCAGAAAACGAAACCGACTCAACGACGTTAGCTCCAACACTTAAATCACTAAGTAGATTGCAGCATTCGAGAACACTAACGAATCGAATTATGCAGCGACACCAAAAGTCCAGAAGGAAAGTAAAGAAAGAATCAACCCAGTTATTGTTGCTCACGAAGACGACATAATTGACAATTCCCACTTCATTATGATTGGTCGTTAGTTAGACTGCCGGAGTTCCGAACAAGGGTTGGGTTTATTTCTTTAATGTTTTTAGGGATGCTAGGTCACCTGCAACCATTTGACAAACGTGTTAATTATGTAATTTGAATTCCTTATTTTAGCATTAAAAGCGTCCGTATGGACTTTCAGGTTGTATTTGTCAATAAAAGGACACTAATTGTCACTGATTCGTTTCCAGTTTTAATACACCGCTTTGTGACGCTTCACAAGGACATTTTTGTACTGTAAACACGCACGTATTTGTGCTTGTATTTTTGTGCTTCTGGATGCTTGCGGAATATACTTTTTCCTCGGTTAAAATCTGGCCTTTTCTTTCTAGCTATCAGGGCTGAGACGCGTTTTAATAATAAGTTTTTTCTGTTGTTAGGCTGCTGTCTTCTTTCTGTTTGCCAGTTTTAGGTGATATTGCAATCACTTAAAACATAGAAAGTGTCTAGTCCTGTACCAAGACCACATAAGTTATTCTGTTTTCCAGATATACGGATCGCGTCAAGCTTTCATTTACATTTTGAACCTTGTGTAAAGATTAGAACTATTTGAATTATTATAAAAACTAGAAATTTTAAATATAATGCAATTTAAACTTAACGTATTGTATTTGGAATTCCAACTTCGGTAGATCCCAAGTACAAAATAATCACTAGTTAATACGAACACCACAGCCACAGCTTGTGTACTGAAACCACTGATATCTGGAGTTCTAATCATAGATTTTCCAACACTATCCTCCCTCACGAATAGGTAGGATTCTAATGTCGCAATTTCATGACCAGTTTGATGTTCTTAATTTGCATTTTCCTCTCATATCTCACACTGATTATATGTGAGCACTTGAGGATACACACTGGCATATAATTTGGGGCATTCCATCATGTGACTGACTCGCATAAAATGTATGATACATATTCCTCTTTTTACGTTAGAATACACAAGGCGATTGTTCCAGTTATCAGACAAATATACATTGATGTGTGTAATTACACATATGATTCATCTAGGCTCGACTCACCTGCAAAACGATCAAGTGAAAATTATGCATCTGTCTCGTGCTCATTAGGATAATCTTGGACTCGGTTTGAATTTTGTCTGTGCAAACTTCTTATCTCAGAAAACTGATCTTCAGACTGCTTCGGGAAAACTTGCTATTCCCTTTGATTCATCATACCACTGACTAGCGATTCTCCTCGTTGGTTGAGAGAATAACTAACATCTGGTACAATTACATTAGAAATGTGACTAGAACGCGACTCATTCGGAACATATTTGTAACATCCACCAGTGATATCACAGAGATAAATCCATTGTGAGGACAAATAACATTTGATGCGTGATAATAAGCACTTTAACCAGATTTTAACTCATTCAGAACTTGTTCGTGACATTTATATAGATTTCATTAGAAGTAAATAAATCATTAGGGAGAGCCACATCTGATAAAATAACGTCAAAGTTCTGATCAGGATTTGGTGCACTCGCCATATCTACCGCATATTTTTAAATAATTTCATTAAAAATACGGGAATTGTGAGAACAACGTATATCTGGTAAAATAATATCATGAATCTGATCAGAGTATGATTCGTTTGATACATTCAACTTAATAGGACCGGGAATTACAAATTTTAGCATTACTTGCAAACTGCCCATATGTATCCGACTTTATCACATTTAAAGCATTTCGAATCACAAAATACACATGAATTACATAAGCGAGATTGACCACAGGACAAACATTTACAAAACTTGAGCTCATCTTCGTGAACTGCTTTGGAAATCCTCAATGAATCGTCATTTGTATAACCTTGGGTACGCAATAGAGTGAGATGACTTGGTAATGCAGTGGAATTCTTGTTGTCCTGACGAATCATTTCATGGGATTTTCCTCCTTTACAGCACTTCAGATTTGTACACTTTATATTGTCTAGTAGTAGTTCCTCGACACTTGCATAAAGGAGTGAAATATGCTTTCTTGGAAATGCCAAAGATTTTAATAGGCTTCAGGCTTCTTTTCCGATGAGTGTGCAGCGGTACATATACCTCAAAAATCCGTATCTCCCTAAGTCTTCAATATTCGATGTTGACCACATTAGTTTTAATAGACTCACCTAGCTGAAGGCTCTCGGTCATGCGCTCACACCAAGTCACGAGTGGGAGCGCCGTGCTCAATTTCTCCTGCAACCGCCAGCTAGTTTAAATCAGTCACTTTTCGATATATTGCTAGTCTATCAAATATATTTTCGGACCTCTTTGCTTCTAACTTCTGATTTCACTGAGTGGGCACGTTTCCATCATCGAAGGTGTTACTGGTTAAAGTGTTGTCAAACTCCAAATACTTGTGGTATCTTCAAATGCGAGAAAACGCGCCACAATGTCAACGTCCCCATCATCTTCCTTGATCAAAGCCCAGATCTTGAACCCTTCAAATCTACTGTTCAAAAACTATCAGTAATAACCTGCCGTGAAAAGATTTCTGGAGCTACAAATTTAAGGGATTACTTAACAGAGTTTGTACTAGTAAGTCCATCATACATTTAGTAATTAAATAGTTAGAAATTAAATTAATTACTTTTCATGAAAGAAAGGCAATCCAGTTAGTCCAGGAGCGTATTTCAACCTTACAATAGTCAAATTCATTTGTGGTGGATCCTAGTACGACAGATTACTCAAAATATAACAATACACACGGTCACTAATGAAATACCAAAATGAATTAATACTGTAAACCAAAATCTCTGTTTATGACTAGGGCGGAACGGCAATAAATAACACTTACAACTAAATGGATGCACACTGCTGAAGAGGAAGAAACGGACATTCATTGCTGCCCGGTTTTCAATAGTAGTCTGACATCAGTCGATTCATGATTTCAATCAGAAACTTAATAATCTCCACAACCCCTATACTGGAAAGATGTAATGCTCAAGTCGTCAAATTAATGATCCTTTCACTAATCTAATGACTAACAATCATTGGGTTGTAAAACTTCATATGGTCATGCTACAAATTAGATGGACAATAAGGAGAATTATTGGTGTTGCACAACAGAATCGGTTGTCAAAACCAATTTAGGATTACTCGAGGAGTCTTTAACTTCAGTCTCCAGTGCTCTGCATGATTTAATTGACCATGTGCAATTTATCAAACAACACTTGGGCAAAATTAAGACGTCATATTTTAAATGTTAACAACCACCAATACACTTCCCTCACTAACTAAATTACTGCGCAAACAATTTCGTCAGAAAAACACTATCCAGTGATGGCAGCAAAGACACTTCATGAATAGACAAACTGAAAGCCAGTTGACATTGACAGACAAAACAGATTCCCCACTTCAAGATTTACTGAACAGTTTATATCATAACGTGTATTGCCTAGAATATCTACCACAACACACAACACAGTAACAAAGTCGAGAAGATTTATTCATTGACTGAAACAGTATCTAAAGCTAGTCATATCTCTTTAATCAAGTTCATCCCTTCATTACCCATGTGTGTGTGTGTTTATTTCTTGTCACCGCAGTACACGCCACTATTTCACTTATTATTCAATTATACTCATATACATTTTACATACATACATGGGTGTGCACTTTAGATACTGCACAAATTATCATCATTATTTCTGAATTTAGACACCTAACAATCCTCTAGACGTTTTAGCTATTCATCATACATTATTGTGTTATTTTTATCGTCAGATCTCATGATGATATTAGCATTTATGTCATAGTGAATTAGTCTAATTATTTATGTCAATAAACTGTTTGTTTACTCACATACAAATGCGGTCTAGATTGCTTCATAACAAATTACCATAAAAACACTTTATACGAATTCTTAATAGTTTTTATCAGTATGGGGTTGTGGAAATTGTTAAGTATTTGATTAAGATCATGAATCGATTGATGTTGGACCAACATTGAAAATCTGGAAGCACTGAACGGCCGTTTCTTCCTCCTCAGCAGTGTGCATCCACGATCCCGCATGTGGGATTCGGTCTCGCGCTTGAACGCTCAATCTCTAGACTCCTAAGCCTGTATTCAGTGCTGTTAATGTGTAACTTCAATCGACCCATGATCTTGCACAACCATACATCATTTGTCTAAGATAGATACCTGTCTCTACGCGACTTAGATTGGACTCCACTGATCACGGCTTCTCACTAGAACTCCAAGAAATCATCTTGAAGCCAGTTACTAGTGTGTACATTTATTTATTCAAATAACCCTTGTGTAATTGTGTATTGTATTCTAAAGTAATAAAAATTCTACCACGGTTAAATTTCTATTTTCGTATTTCTTGTATTGTTATTACGTTCACTTTCCAACACATTCATTAACTGAATTATATATTTACATGTAATTGTGTATTTCATAACCATAATTGTTTGTTCAAAGCTTACTTATTGTTCAAGCAAAAGCTTCCTCTCTAGAATTTTGGCGAGACTCTAATTTATGGACAACCTTTGGATGAATCTTAAGTGACCTTGAGAAATATTAGTCAGTCAGCAAACAGTCAGCACAGAGTAAAAATAAAGTGGATACACTTCTTATACGTGGTTCAAAAACTTTTCAAGGTTAGAAAGAGGTTCTAAAATCGTAATGCATGCAGCAGAGGAAATCATCCATACGGCTACAGAATAGTCGGCCTCTGGAGCTATGATAAAGTCTCAAAAACTCTTTCAGACTGGACCACATAATTTCATTATTGTTTATGCACACTTCGGTTGTTGAGTACACAAAATGCTACTTGTGGATAACGACATGATACACATAACCAAGCCTATGTAGGAGTCTACACGCTCTCCAAACATCCGAATATATTTTAGTACATGGCTGCAGCCAGTGTTACTGGTGTTTTTATTATCCAGTTCTCGATAATTGTCATAATTTGCCTTAGTTAGGAATTATATATGCGGTTTTCATCACGAACTAACACCAGCTATAATGCCAGGAGTTTATTTAACCAAAAGGATGAAAGGCTTTCGCGTTAAAATCCGAGATCTGTTATCTTATACCAGATTGATTCGTCCACAATTTATAGTTTCGCCGTTTTATCTGTTATAGCCGCTCAATTATCACGTTTTGTACAAAATTCCTTGTAAACCAATCGTACGTTGGCATTAAACACTGAAGTTGGCGCCGTAACCTTGAAGTCCCTAAAACGCTTCTGATTGTCTCGTCCATAAATTAGAGTCTCGCCCAATCTTAATCACATGTATGTTTACTGTATTTTACTACCTTCAAAATACAATTCCATAAATAAGAGATTTGTATAATTTACACATTTATTATTTATAAGAAGAGATGCTTCACTTTAATTTAAAATGACTTGAACAGAAGTTTCTTTTGTTTGTATCGACATATTCCTGCTTTTTATCCAGGGAAAATCAATTTCTTCAGATTCCCAATATCCAAGAAGCATCCATTTAAAAATGTCAAAAAATGAGTTCTGAAAATGATAATAATATAGTTGAAATATGTGTAATTTACATTATATTCATTTGATAGTATGGTATTGTGAAGATTATTAAGTTTTTGAATGAGATCATGAATCGATTGATGTTAGACCATCATACTGATAATTGCCATGTGCTCAGTAGTGACTAGCTTTTTGAGGGAATTCTAGGAGTTCTAGTGAGAAGCTGTGACCAGTGAAGCTAGTCCGTGTCGCGTAGAGACAGGTGTATATAAATCAGTACGATCGAAGATGGTCGAGCGATTTCATGGATTGGTTGAAGTTAGTCATTAACACCGATGGATGCCAGCTCTGTGGTCTAGAGGTTAGGTGTTCGGGAGCGACATCTAAGCCCTCGGGTTCGAATCCCGCGAGCGGGATCGTGGACGAACATTCCTGAGGAGTCCACAATAAGACGAAACGGCCGTCCAGTGATCCCAGGTTTTCAATCATGATCTAACATCAGTCGATTCATGCTCTCAATCAAAAATATACTTATTTAATTTTATAAAATTGGAGGAAAGTCTCATCTATCTTTCAATCAACCAACCAGTAAAATCAACAGTAGTTATATTTGTTCAAATTTGTCACTATGGTCTTTTCCATTTACTACATACCTATTAATCTCTGAGTACTAACCAATATTTGGCTTAAGTTGAATTTTAATTAGAAATACTCAGAAATGTATTGAAGAAAAAATCCCTGACCTCTTAACTTTACTCGAATGTGTTCATTCTATGTATCCACTTTTCGAATATATCTTAAGTAGTTGACTTTTGGCAATAACTCTACACTATATCCATCATAGTTTAATACTGTTTCTATTTAGTAATGCATTTCATCGAAACTGTTCCTTTAAATTATCAATGATGTTGGTGGTTTTGGAAAAAGGTCAAGATTACTTAAACTGAATAAGGTTATTCTTATACTCCAACGTTGGAACCTACTATCTTCATAAATTCACTTATTATTGTTTTTTTTTTAAATCTTCCCATTGGTGTTTAGGACTGCATTTGAACAGTCTCGTATTGGCATAGATGCATACTGTGAGTATTACCTCGATATTGCCTTCATTAACAAGCATTATATGCAAAGATGGATAGTGACTTGCTGTGGAATCCAGAACTCGCGTTTCGTCCTATTTGAGATTCGTCAGCTGGATGTACCTGCATCTCAGAGTTGATATTCACTCTGGAACTCATCCATCTTTGTATATAATGCTTGAGAATTAAGGCAGTGTTGAGGCAATCTGCACATGATGCAAATATACCAATGAGAGACTGACTAATTGCAGTCCTAAACATCAATGCGAAGATTCAAACAAACAATACCAATTGGATTTAAACTCCACCCCATTGCACAAGCAAGTGGCTGTCAGGCATTTGAAGCGAACGGTACTGAATTCGATTCCCAGACTGAACATCCACTGTGAGATGCAGGTACATCCATCTGATGAGTCACAAATAGGGCGAAACGCGCAACCTGGGTTCCACTGCTAACCACTATGCATCTTTGCATCTAATATCTCCTTATCTAAAGTTTTACAGTTGTGGGAGAAACTTCAAAATGCGTCTGAATTATTAAATACACTACAATTTAATGAATCAAATAAACCATTCTAATTCAGTTCGGAGATCATTTATGGTATAAAATCTCATTTTTTGTTGTGGTAATTATACCTAAAATAGGTACAAGAAGATAAAAATCGTCGACGGTTTTTTCTCAAATTAACCAAAACCAAACGTTATTTCCCGGAAATTTAACTCCATATCTATGTGTCAGTGGTACATCCGACTTCCATAGAAGTTTCATCATAAACATAGATATAATTCATTTACTTTGTTCTACAATCTGTTATTTAATTATGGCATATATATAGTGTGCGTATGTGTATATGGAATAGTAATGTGTGCTACTGATGTCCACAGATATAAATAGCATGTATCACCAATCGGAAGTGGAATGCAAGGTGGCATGAAGTTAAGAAGATCGAAGAGAAGGAAATGAGAACAATGACTGATTGGTATAGAAGCGAAGAAACAATGAACTCTGAGACAATTGATGGATATTTCTTAAATGAGCTACTTACTGTATGGTTCACAGATTTCACCAAAATATTCTGTAATGTTATGTTAAAATACATTTGGATGTCTCCACTTGGCATTCTCATTCACTACTGAACTACAGATATATTTTATGAAAGTCCACGACGAAAATTTAGGTCTTTGACAGATTTTAAGTAAATCATATAGTGAAGAGGAATAAATTTTGATATTTAAGATCAAATAGAAAACAAATCAATGATTATAAGGATGTTCAACTAACTTACCCAATAGCCGCCGCAATTCTAGTGTAGAGAAAATATGAACAGTGAGAATAATTTATCGAATCTTGGGTGAGACTATAATTTATGGACGACGTTTGTGCCATGTTAAACTGATCTTGAGAGTGTCCACCTAATAACCAGAACTAAGCGACGGTTATAGACATGTGTCAGCAATTCGAATTATGATTTACAGTTGATGGTTAAGGTTGAGAATTACATTTGGAGTTTTCATCATGAATTGTCATCAACTATAATGCTAAAACTCTGCTTAGCCAAATGGATAGGTGAATTTCGCGCCAAAATCCGAGACCTGTTGTCTTATATGTGATCAGTCCGTTCATAAATTATAGTCTCACCGAATCTTGCTATGAGACTATAGATATGCTTTGATTGTTCTATGAATAGACTATTGATAACCATTTTTACCAGTTTAGATTGGAAGAAAAGTATAGTCATGTTAAATTATTTTAGTCAAAATCATAAATTAATTTGACTGGACTTAAATGAATATTTGGCAACTTTCAAACACAACCTTCATTAAGACAAAGAATGTTCACTTCAACTTTGTGGAATATTACTCAATTTTGCATTGTTATTCCAAAGTTATTTGATATGATGTTGAATAATGTTGGGTGAGACTATAATTTATGGATGACCTTTTAGCGACGCTGAAGTGACTTTGAGAGTGGACAACTTCTAATTAAGACTAAATGGGGGTTATAAAGTAGTTGGAATGCTCCTTTACAGTTGATGGTTAGGGTGGAAAATTAAATTTAGTGTTTTCATCACGAACTGACATCAGCTATAACGCTCAAACTCTATTTAGCCAAATGGATGAGTGAATTCCGTGCCCAAATTCGTGACTCGTTATCTTATATCTGAGTGGTTCGTCCATAAATTATAGTCTCGCCATAACGTTGTTTTAAAATGATTCTGAACAACTGAGTCTAAGTATTCATTTGACTCTTCAAAAATCCTTGACTTCTGTTACTAAGGTCTAAGATTCTAACACTTCATATAATTTATAAAAGAATATATATTTTGAAAAAGTACTTCCATTACAACTATAACCATAAACTGCTCACAAGTACTTGGAATTATTCACAGAAGACATTTCACTACTTAATATTGTTCAAGCATTCAACTGCCATTGATAATTTTCACCCGAATTGAACATTTCCTAGTCTAATTCATTATTCTTCTCTTAATTATTGAGTTCAGTTCATTGATGAGCGATTCAGATGGAAGCCTTAGAATGATCATCATACTTCAGAAAACTCTTGACGTAGCACTCTAACAATAACTGCCTAATTCGCCTGAACTATCCAAATTATCTGACCATAACTTACACACCTTATTCAAGTGTGCATATATGTTGAGCAAAATGTTTAGAGAATGTGATCTGTAAATGTTTTATTAACCTCGAAAACAGAGTTTAACTTGTTATCAACATTCATTAAAGTAACTCAAATTCAATATTACATAATCATTGTCTTTTCAAATGACTATCACATTGTATGATATTTTCTTCCTTGAAAGTTAAGAGAACATTTAGTTACAAGAAGTTTGTTAATAAACGAATTGTGTAAGTACAATTCATCAACACTAATCAATTAAGTGTTTCATTCAATAAATAGTACTAATGAAATTGATTGTTATCACATCTACTAAACATAATTCACTCTTCTGAATTCTTTCAGTAATTTGAACTGACATTAATGTTTCACACTCTCAAAACTGACCATCTCAAACGATTGTTCAACTAAGCGGCTACATTTTTTTTATTTAAAAAACGTGGTAAAGAGAATAAGACAAAGTCAGTTTGAATTCGAAAACTCCACTAAGGTTTATTTGAAAATGAACATTTCAAATTATGAATTATCATCTATTCATCAGTAAAGATGATAGAACAACAGATATACGACATATACTACTGAATTACATCATTTAATTAAAGTACAAACACTGAGTACTTTAAAATCTTTATGAAAATTAAATACATTTTATTCAACTTAGTTAGTCTTTCAAGATTATCAATCGTTTACTGTAATTGCAATATATACTACTTATACCAACAAACATAAGTAGTATATAACACTAATTAGAAGTTAAATGTCTGATAACAGAACTTTGAGAAAATCGAGTCGAACAGAACAGGAATATAAAATGAACGTTAAAGATTGCAATAGACAATTGATAGTAGATGTACAAATGAAATACAGTATTGAATGTATGGTTATCATATTCTTTTCCGAAGAATTCTATAATTTTGCCTTAATCAATCATTTGATCTACCCCACCCTACGTCTGAATGTTCATTCATATTACATGATGACTAAGTTTAATTAGAATAATTAGAGTTTACAGTATCTAACCAGATTCATGAAATTACCGTTGTAAAGAAGTACTGAAATCTAAAGTGGATATTCACAATATTAATAACATGCATTTCATTAAAGGACTCTATTGTCATAGCAACATTACTGATTTCATACAAAATGACTTACGGGGCAAGGAAAAATTGTGATCTAAAATATATGTATGCATATATATAACATCTTAGCAAACCCTATCTGAAATCTCATTTTACATTGTATCAATGAGAGGTAATAAGTTAAGATCAATTATAATCTCATCTCCATGATTGGATTTATACCATAAACCTTCATTGTCCATTCTCTCTTTCAATCAAATCTTTCAGTTCATCTTGCTGGAAATCTACGTCAACACTGAAGTAGTACTTGTTATGAATTATGAATTCTAAGGTAAGACAGAGATTATCAATAAATTTCATTTTATATAAAAGATATCAATTATAGAATAGTCTAAACCCTTATTAATAAGGATAATAAGTATCAAATCTATTGAATAAGTTGTTAACTATCTACACTCTCTAATTCAATGGATAATGCATTGTCTTCAAAAAGATGAAAAGTACTCATTTTAAGTGTCACTGAGCATAGGTATATCAAGTTCGTTTGTGCTAACTAGAATGAGGTATGACAACAATTCAGTTTACTTAAGGATAAAAATATAATTCAGTTATTCACTAATTTAACTTTTCTGCATAGGCATGGTTGCTAAATACTATGGATCGATTGAATTTAGACATGAACACCGTTGGATAATAGCTCAGTGGTCTAGAGGTTTAGTATTCACACGTGAGACCGAAGGTCTTGGGTTCGAGTTCCGTTTGTGAAATCGTAGATGTGCATTGCTGAGGAGTCCCATACTAGGATGAAACGATCATTCAGTGTTTTCGGGTTTTTTCATGGTGATTTAGATTAGGACGACTCATGAATTCAACTTTATCAAAAGTTATTTACAATAGTTTTTATAAGCCTACTTTACATTAATCAGAAATCAGTTTTGTATAACCCGATCGCTTATAAATCTATCCTATTAAATGTTGTTTGTATTAGCTAATAGCTAATACAAACTGGTGATAATAACATCTTGTTTCGTTCGTTGTTGCTTAAATGATTATGAAAAATTGAACTTGTTGAACGATTCAGTAAATGTAAATAAATACTCGATCTTTTGATCTGTATAACATCACAGATTGATTAAATGGTAGAGATGTAAATCAGTGGATGCCAATACAATGATATAAAGGTTAAACTGTTGTTATCATACATGAAGATCTTGAGTTCAACTTCCAACTAAGATTTGGATTCATACTATTAAAGAGCCCTATTCTAAGATAAAACAGCTGTCTATTGCTTCCTGGCTTCAGTAAGTGTCTAACTGTAATCAATCCATAAAGTAAACAATGAACCTATCAGAAGAAAGATTAAATTATAACCGGCTGGACATATGATACATATGTCATAATTACACATATTACATAACATAAGACATATCTACTCTTCTCCCTTGAACACTAAACTACATTTATACAAATGACTGTTACATAGTAACCAATATCAGTGTGTATAGCCTTATTATTTAATAGATATATTTTTAATCTCACAGGTTGAAATCATGAGTCAGTTGAAGCTAGACCACCAGGTTTTCAATGGTGGTCTAGCTTCAACTGACTCATGATTTCAACCTGTGAAATTTCTAAAACTCTCCACAAAACCCATTCTGATAATAATCAACTGCTCACTAGTGACTGACTTCAGGAAAAACTCCTGGAGTTCTAGTGAGAAGCCGTTACCAGTGGAATTCAACCGGTCTGTTGTGAGATAACAACTCACTGAAGACAATGGTGTACGGTGGCGCAACTTTGTGGATTGGTTGAAGTTAGACATTAACACCGTTGGATGCCGGCTCAGTGGTCCAGTGGTCAAGTGCTCGCGCGCAAGGCCAGTAGGTCCTGGGTTCGAGCCCCGCGCGGTGCGGGATCGTGGGTGCGCACTGCTGAGGAGTCCCATACTAGGACGAAACGGCCGTCCAGTGCTTCCAGGTTTTCCATGATGGTCTAGCTTCAACTGACTCATGATTTCAACCTGTTAAATTTCTAAAACTCTCCACAAAACCCATTCTGATATTTTTAATCCTTTGAATTTTAGAAATTCCCGAAACAGATTTAGGAAATGAACAAATAACTCACTCTTCAGGTTTTTGACTAAAAGTGATATAAACAATAGAGTTATTTATAAAATGTTTAAATTGAAAAAGCAACTGATAACTGATTAATATATTGATTGGGTTCGAATCCCGGAAGGTGGGATCATGGATGCGCACTATTGAGAAGTCCCATACTAGAACGAAATGGCCGTCCAGTGGCTTCCTGGTCTAGATTCATGAATTCAACTATTGAAATTACTATAATATCCATAGGAATCCCTTTCTGATTATATTGCTTATTGGACAAAATCTAAATTAACATTTTGTAAATTATTGTTATTATCAAATGGTATTGACTTGACGATCGTTTCTTATTGTTATTAGAACTTCTGTGAATATTAGGTTGTATCGAGATTCCTTGGCGTGAAGTGAAATCGGGACTAGTAAGAATTATCTTGGAGATTATCTAATGTAGTTTCAAAGGGGTGATTGATGTGTGAAAATGAAGTTAAATGTGTTAGGTCATTGATTGTGGGCAGACAGGCACTCAATTCACCTTATTGATTTCTACCCCTGGCTCAGTGTAAGTGATTGGTTATAACTGTGTGAGATGAAATATTATGGTTAGAAAGGGGGAATTGTGGAGATTATAGTAATTTTAATAGATGAATTCATGAGTCAGTCTAAAATAAACCTGGAAACACTGGGCGATCGTGCATTTAATCCCTATTGTGGGACTCCTTAGCAGTGCGCATCCACGATACTGCCTCGCGAGATTCAAACCCAGGATCTATCAGTCTCGCGCGTGAACGCGAGACACGTAATATGAAGCCTATAAACTTGAAGTTATACAGAAAAAAAAACAAAAAAAATCACTTAGTTCTAGATCATTAACATTCAGAGATTGACTTACTTTGTATTTCCGCTATCATGTACAACTGACGAAGATTTTAGAATATGAATGTAAATGATTTAGAATAGAGATTCACATGTTTGATAATGAATTAAGTTATAAAGAAAGATGAATTTATGAAGTCTGTATGAAGTACTGAAGTGAATTCATAGTACAGTTGATCAACTTTATTGTATAAATACTATAGTATTGGAGCTATTTACCAGCGAACTGTTTTACTGTAATCGTTAATGATTAAGTGTAATGATTATTATATAATCTACTACATAGAAACTGTAACAGTTAAACAAATTGATTACTTCATTTCTTTACGTTCACTAGTCTTTTGATAAATGTGACGATATAAACAGACATCATTGAACGCCCGAAATAGTATACACTTATTGATGAAGTAGAGACGAAACCTTTTTGAATAGAAACTATCCATTCATTTCTCTTTAAGGTAATTATGATAGAAATGAGATTGAATACATGTTCATTCTATACTATATACACCTATATTGCTGATAAGTATTTTTGTGAGAAAATGCTTTAGAAAAGAATTGAGATATCAACTTACCGAAACCTGTACAAAATATTTAATAATAAACATTAGAAATATATATATAGGTAAACTGGATAGTAGGTTCATGTTGACAACAACAACAACAAATAAAATGACCATATCTATCAATAATCAATAAATGTTAGGAATTATAGATAGAATATATATGACGCAAATCATCAAACTGCATCACAAGGCAAGCCCTAACTCGGAATCCTGAAGGGAAACGGAAAAGAGGAAGACCAAAGAACATATTACGTCAGGAAATAGAATCACATATGAAAAGGATGAATAACAACTGGAAAGAGTTGGAAAGAATTGCCCAGGACAGGGTTGGATAGATAATGGTGGTGAGCGGCCTATGCTCCTTCACGAGGAGTAACAGGCGTAAGTAAGTAAGTAAATATAGATTATTGATTTTTAACTTAATGAATGGATATTATTCTCTTTGTTAAATGATTTGAAAACTTAAGTTTCATTTCTCATTCAAGAGTATGAGAACTACTGTCTAGTGTTCTTTTTTGAAATCATGTTAGCCAGTGAGAAAAACGAACTTTAAATTCAGGATATACACAGGACTCTGTTTTTGAATATGAACATTCAATGGAATAAAGTTGTGTATATCCAACTTACTCTTATATCTTAGTCATAAAAAGGTAAGTAGTAAATGAACTTTAATAGTTCATGTTAAATCAACTATAGTAATCAATTGTAATCTTCCTTTTATACAGTATATAAACTATTCTTGAATCTTAGATTCATAGAGTGAATTTTATTGAATCAATTTTGTTATGATGGTGCTCCCCCTTTGCAATTGGAAACTTGTATTTATTGCTTATTTATCACGAATGATCATTTATATTTTGATGGAGCATTGTCCTCTGAACTGGATAGTTTAGTCGTGAAGCTTTCATCGTTCTTCTAAATGACATCATTAGCACAAACTTCAGGTAGAAGCATTCATATGGCTTAGTCAAATTTATCTTGAATATCAGCATTAACTTCTGTTTCTAAATTCATGTTAATAATACCATAGGTGAATGTTGAATATTTGAGACATAATCTAGTTGACCGATAACCGTACGTAATCTATGATGATGTTTGTCTGAGATAATGTAAAATAAAGTCCCATATTAATTCTATGAAGGATGATGATTTCGTAATGTTTTCATTCAAATGAACCAAATCTAAGCTTAAACTAAAGGATTTTAGTTGGTCATCTATTGTATACTTTTAAATCAAAAGTAACCTGATAAAGATGTCAACACAATGTACAGAAATGAAGGTAAATATGATGAGTTGATCAAGTTGATAAGAATGGTGGAGAAGATTTGTAACTCAGATGAATGATTTTGATCGAGTTTTCATTGTTCTTCTGGATGATATCATCAGCTTCACGACTAAACCATTCAGCTCAGAGAACAAAACTCTATCAAAAATAAAGTTTATAAGAATCTAGTAGAATGATAAGATTTCGGATTCCTTCTTCTAAACATTGATCAATAGATCTTATCGTCATTTCCATGTTAGTTAAAAAAAATCAAAGAAGTAAAATCACTCAGCCAACTTTTTATTGATTTCGGATTTCATTATTCCATCAAATTTGAATAGAATGGTTTAGTGAAAAACTCTATCTCTAGGGAAACACTTACTGGTTTATAGAATGAATGGTAACTGGGTAGTAATGGAATCCAAGACGTTAATTTTATCCTATTAAGGTTTTGTTACATAGATGTACCTACATTCCAGATTTGACATATTAGATAACAGGTCTCGAATTTTGGCGCAAAATTCACCAATCTATTTGGCTAAATAGAATTTTGGCATTATAGTTGATGACAATTCATGATGAAAACTCCAAATGTAATTCCTAACATTAACCATCAACTGCAAATCATAATTCGAATTGCTGACACATGTCTATAACCGTCGCTTAGTTCTGGTTATTAGATGGACACTCTCAAGATCACTTTAACATTGGCACAAACGTCGTCCATAAATTATAGTCTCACTCATCATTTAGTGTAGACTCGTTTAAAATATAAAATACTGGATGCGATTTCTGGAATAACCATCAATGTTAAGATTCATCTACATCCAGATCATTTTATTCATATCAGAAGTGATTTTATGAAGATTGTAGTAGTTTAGATCATGAATCAATTGAAACTAGACCACCATGGAAAACTTAGAAAGTACTGGATGGCCATTTTATCCTCAGCAATGAACATCCATGACCCTCACCTCATGAGGTGATCTAGCTTCAATTGACTCATGATCTTAACGATTTACATTTTATTCATCTTCAACTTTATAACATGAAATTTACAATTTAGTTTTCATTGGAAACATACATAGATGTGTATAACTCAAATTAGAATTCACTAACCTGTAATGAATTGTGAACTGATTATAAGTAATAAAGTTGTTCCAACAATAGAAACTGGTAACATCTTGATTTTCTAATAAAGTTTTTTTTCTTCTTTAATTTCTTCTCTCTCTCTCTTTGTTTTTGTTGTTTCTCTTGTTAAAATAGTTAAATATTAAAATAGAAAATATTCAGTAATATTTATACATATTTATCATAAGTAAATAGAAATCATTGTTGATTAAACAAACATTTCTTTCTTTATTCTTCTTTTCTTTCTTTTTTTTATCCACCCCTCTCTCCCCTCTCCCCCTCCCCCCTCTTTTGTTAAAATTACTCAAATTTCAATTAGATTTATTATTTACTTTTTTTCTTTTCTTCTTTTTTACTTTGAAAAAGAAAAAAAATATTTATTTTGTTCTGAAAACAAAAAAGGAGGGGGTTGTTTATTTGTCAATGAAATGTATCAAATTTTCAATACGTATGTAGAAACCAATGTATCCTACATTAATATTAATAGTAATAATGCTCAGTTATTTACACTTGTTACCCCCTAGTGGAGCATAGACCATAGACCAGCATTCTCCAATCCACTCTGTCCTGGGCCTTCTTTTCTAGTCCCATCCAATTCTTGTTCATTTTTCTCATGTCTATCTCCATTTCCCGGCGTAATGTGTTCTTTGGTCTTCCTCTTTTGATTGGTTTAGCCTTGAGGATTACATGTGAGGGCTTGCCATGTGACGCATTTGGGTGCTTTCCTCAATGTGTGTTCTATTCACTTCCATCACTTCTTCCTAATTTCTTCCTCCGCTGGAATCTGGTTTGTTCTCTCACACAGTAGGTTGTTGCTGATAATGTTTGGCCAACTAATACAAAGTACTTTGTGTAGACAACTGTTAATAAACACCTGTGTCTTTTGGATGATGGCTTTCATCGTTCTTCAAGTTTTCGCCTCACACACAATAGAACTGTCTTGACATTTGTATTGAAAATTTTCACTTTGGTGTTGGTTGACAATTGTTTTGAGTTCCAGATGTTCTTCAGTTGTAGATATGCTGCCCTTACTTTTCCGATCCGCGCCTTCACATCTGCATCAGACCTACTATGCACATCAATGATGGTGCCCAGATATGTAAACGTTTTTACATTCTCCAAAGATTTTCCGTCAGGTGTGATATAATTGGTGTGTGATGTGTTGTATCGCAGAATCGGCGAACAATAATAATAATACATTAATGTAAGTTTTTACGAATAGTAGTGATTATAAACATTTAATCAAAGAGAATGCTTTAAGGAATTAAAAAAAGCGTTCTTATAATATTCGTCGTGTGCTCATTAGTGACTGGCTTCAACACGGATTTACTGGAATTCTAGACAGAAGTCATGACCAGTGGAGTTCAACCATGTCTGCTACTCACTGAAGACAATAGTGGACAGTGTCACAATTTCGTGGATTAATTGAAGTTGGATATTAACACCGTCGGATAATGACTTAGGGATCTAAAGATTAAGCATTCACGCATGAAACCGAAAATTCTGGGTTCGACTCCCATTAGTATCAGATTGTTGGTGTACACTACTGAGGAGTCCCATACTACGACGAAACGGCCGTCCAATGCTTCCAAGTTTTGCATGACGGTCTACCTTAGATCGACCAATGAATTCAACTAGTAAATTTTCTATGGCAAAAATATTTATCATACGATTTTATTTTGATCTAAAAGAAAAAACGAGGGGGCTGTTTATTTATCAATGGAATGTATCAAATTTCCAATACTTATGTAAAAATGGATGTATCCTACACTAATAATAATAATATTCATACATAAATTGTGCATGATTGCTTCAGTTTAGTTACAAGACTTGATGAAGTCTTTCGAACAGCTTCAAAATACTCATTAGTATTACAGTCAACAGCTATAACTTAACTAAAAAGGTAACAAATTATTAATGATTGATTTTGTGGTAGTCTTGTGTCGCAGTTGACTATGATCACCATTACAGATCGATCACGTGCCAATTACCAGGTTAAAACCCTCTGTAGGATAAATATTAGAAGGAAAGTTGTAGATTGTAGTTAAAATATATTTATTGGTGATCTCGTGGTACCGAAATAATACCGAGATCGTGCCAAAGTTTATAGGCGAGACTACCGTACGTAGGTGAGTAAGTTCATGGTCACAAAAAAACGGAAAAAGTCTGTTTTTGGTACAATTAAACATAAAGACACAGTAAAACAATCACTGGTACAGTTGGTTATAATAATAAATGTTTCCATTACACTAATCGCGTTCTCTTCATAAAAGTAGATCACCACAATTTCATCCGAAGTTTTCTTTATTTAGGTATAGTATGTCTCAATGGTGAAAACGATTTCATCAATCTGACATGATTAAGGGTGTTCAGTGGTTGTTAGTTGTTTTCAGGCAATTCGAAAATAAGATCTAATGCTTGCTAATGCTCATCATCTGGAAGTATTTAAGACTTAGAGGAGACTTATAGTAGCTAATGTGATTAATCGTTACGTTACATAATTAAGTATAAAACTTTTCAGGCTTCAGTTGGTTATCATGCTTAGCTGAGTACACTCATCTGTCAAAATGGAGTAATCAAAGATAATTGTTGAAAATATGACAAGTGAGCTCATCAGCGAGGTAACTTGGTATAGGAGATACATGGATGATAGTTATAGTTAATATGTGATAAGGATTTTGAGGTTTCTCAGTTGTTAGATAAACTCAAAGGCGTACAGAACAACAACGTAATGACCTATGAAGCAGAAAGTAATAACCAATTGCCCTTTTTATACATACTTTTGAGTCGAAGAGAGGATGGAAATATAAGACAGTTAGTTTATAGGAAGCCAACTTCGACTGGTCAGTATTTAAATGTCCACAGTTTCTGTCTATTTCAATCTGGTTAGGTACCTCTTTAATAGGATTCAAAGAATATGCATCACAGATACGGTTGAAAAAGATGAAAAGTTGCTGACTGACACACTAATATCAAACGGTTATCCACTAAAGTTTATAAATAGGTGCAAAAGTCAGTCAACCCTAAAACATCTTGTTTATTCTGTTCCGAAGAAAACTGTTTATATCTATCTACCATATAGAGACAAATCTAACAGTATGTTTCTAAGACAGAGGTTGAAAACAGCCATCGAGAAAACCTATTATGCTGCTAAATTGGTTGTGATTGACTGAGCCCATTACTCCAAATAGACTTAGACAATGTACGAGTGATTAAGTTACATGTGATTGCATTTGCTAATTTACATGAATTTGGGGACACATAAAATGGGAGGAGTAATCGAACACTTCAATCAAGGGTCACTGAATATGTGCCTACACGGCTTCAAAACCAGTTAATGTCAAGTGTTGCGATCGACATGGGACGTAGAAAACCATTTTCATCCATAACAAACCACATAATTGAAACGGGACACAGCATTGACATTAATGCATATTCAAAAATTTCGTATAGAAATTGTCAAGGATGAATTCTCAGGTTCACAGAAGCCTTAGCCATTCGTAAATTTATCCCCCCCGCCTTATATGTACAAAAACAATTTGTCATAACCTTGGATTTACTCTGGTAATGTTTAAGCCATTTTATGGCCTAATGTGGTAATACGATAATTTCTTACTCTTTATATAGGATGTAAGATCATGTCTCTCTCCCCTTTATTACCATGTTTACTTGAACTGTCATTTAATTGACCTTTATTAATTTCTATATAAAATGTCCTGACCGGTAATGCTTGTGAATGAAGGCGATGTCGAGGCAATATGCACAGTATATCCATATGCCAACAAGAGACTGATCAATTGCAGTCGTAAACATCAATCGAACGATTCAAGTAAATAAAACTAAGTGAATCTAAAACTTCACCTCATTGCACAAGCAAGTGGCTATCAGGACTCAGTAGCTAAGTGGATAACGCGATGGCGTTTGAAGCGAACGGTACTGAATTCGAGTCCCAGAGTGAAAATCACTCTGCGATGCAGGTACATCCAGCTGACGAGTCCCAAATAGGATGAAACGCGAGTCCTGGATTGCACTGCTAGCCATTATCCATCTTTTCTTGTCCTGATCAGTATATGTGTGACCACAATGTTCGGAATGTATCATTCAATTACATCACATTTTTTAAAGATCAGCTCCGCCTTCTCATTACTCTATCGAAAGATAATTGTGTTTTAGATAATGTTTATTCAGGAAAATAAATTGAATATTATGGGAAATTTGAATGTTCCAACTCTTGATAAATTAAGCTACCATAGTTATGATGATCCTTTTTGAACATGTAAACAAGAATTCATTTTGTATTGTTTATTTGAATCTTCTCATTGATGTTTAGGACTGGAATTGATCAGTTTCTTATTGGCATATTGCTTTAAGTCACAAGCATTATAAGCAAAGATGGATGGTGGCTAGCATCAAAATCTACGACGAACGTTTCGTCCTATTTGAAACTCGTCAAATGGATGTTCTTACCACATCCTAGAGTTGATGTTCACTCCAGAACTCCAACCCAATACCGTTCGCTTCAAACTCTATCACGTTATCCACTTAGCTACTGAGTCTTGATAGCCACTAGCTTGTACAATGAAATGATGTTTAAGTTCATTTTGTATTGTTTATTTGAATCTTTCTAAATAGGATGAAACGCACATCATGGATTCCACTGCTAGCCACTATCCATCTTTACTTGTAAACAAATAGCTTAATAATACATAAGACATAAATGTTCTAAGTAAATAACCCAAACTATTATTTAATTAATCATTTCAATATGATGACGTATATAGAAGTGAGTAACTTCACTCCATAAGTATTAATCTTCGTACTTAGCAAAAATGCTCTTTTTTTCTCAGAAATCTAAAAATTTCAAATCCTAATGACCTGACTACTTATAAAATTCCCATTTAGTAGTATCATTAACTTTAAGTTTATTATTCCAATAATCATCATCTTAGATCACTTAATGAATTTAACAAAGTTTGAATTGAAGGGAATATTTGTATTCTTAAATTCTACAGTGTAATATAGCACTTACTGGAAGAGAACCTGAATTTCAAAATCCTGCTCCATTTTCATATCAGATTTATAATTGTTGAAGTCAAAATTCACTCTCTATATTTATTGATTTGAACACATAAATATTGGTACAAGGAGGCACCAACATAGATATGCGCCACATAAATCATTCGGTTTATGTGAGGGCTGAAATACTGTCTGGGGGCTTAAACCGAAGAAGGTAGTTTTCTTAGGGGGTCACACCCTGAACCTTTGACCTAAAAGTCTGATCCACAAGGCAGTAGAGCAATGTCAAGAGATGCAGTCTCATGGTAGACGGTGACCAACAATCGGTTCATACACTATTTGTTCCTTTAGGACCCTCGAGTCCATGTACACTATTGGTTTGGAATCAGGGTTTTCCAACTCCTCTAACTGAACCAACTGTGTTCACCAAACCGGCTAAAGCGCCGGACATCCACTTTTCTTCCTCTCAATTTCGTAAACAACATCCTCACCACGAGAAGACAGTAAGTAAGACTTCCCTGCCAGTGGATGTATGCATGTGGCCATGTGAGAGCATTTGGAGAGGGAAAGCTGACTCTACTCACCCTCGACCATACCAGGGTACTGGGGGGGGGGCAGATTTCTGTCTAAATTTTACTACATCATTAATCAAACACAGTTATCTATTCAACTTACACATCTGTCTATACAATCACCTATTTATATTTAAAAATTATCATATATGTATGTGGTTAGATATATTGGTTAGTATAGTTTTTTAACAGATGGTATCTTGAATCATTTGAATGAATAGTCCAAGAAAGTATATTCACTTGTTTATAGTTTACTTCAATAAGGCTTCCAAGTTAACTTTAATGACACAGACATACATCTATGTTTAGTTACTATCTCAGAGACCAACATTTCTTTGTTTCATTTGTAGTCAATATTTGGAAGAATTTCTCCTCTTTCTGCGGTCTCAATACCTTATTTTTGTTAATTGCACCCCTACTTGAATATTCGTCTGGTTGTTTATTTGCTTGACTCTTTGCTGCATGTCATGTTTTTTCCAAGTACCACTAAAAAAACACAGATGGAATCTATGGAGTGTTTGTTCTATGGTGAAAACATTTGTGTTACCCTGTGACTTTTATTACAACGAGCAAAGAACTCTTTCAAGTGACTCCGTAAAACTCATGTTGTAATATATTCCGAGAAGTTGATTTATATTTAACAATTTTAAAAGAGATGTATTCTTTTGGCATGGGATGTACTGGTTATCTAAAGGTTCGTACACACATCGGTTAACAGTACTGAATCTTTGTTTTTGCTCAAACTGAACAGAATATTGATAAATGTTGTGATGGAAACATAGTTACTTAAAACAATTAAAGTAGTATAACTACATTTAACATATTATGAATCATCAGATGAACTGATAGTCACAAGGACAACTATAAATACTAAGAAATTAATTAATTGTTACTGTTCTAATCTTACTGGTTTGGAGAATTCTTCTGTTTAAGTTATGATCACTGAATGGTAGAAGAAGTCAGTCATTAAAGACCATCTATTTTGCTCTATATATTCAGTGGGTTTCAGTCATAAAACTTATTAGGTAAGGTGCAAACCAACATATCACTCAATTATTCACATTTATATATTTGGCTAGAAAGTTTTACTATTATAACATTCGTAAATCTGTGTTCATATAGCTTTGTAATACATGAATCCCTTAACCTCGCTGAATGTGTCTAAGGATTTAATCAAAGAATTGAAAAGTTCATGATCTCTTATTTCACGGCTCAGTATTAGTATTGTAGCATCAAATAAATTGTGTAAGTCTTCGACAATGATGTTGACCTCATTAGTTTACTGGACGCATGCTGTCTGAAGGTGTTCGGTCAAGCATCCGTACCAGATCACGAAAGAGTAATCCGTGCTGCGAATCCCTTGTAACTGCTAGTCAGCTTAAACCAAACGCTTTTTAGCATATCAGTAGCCTTCCAAATATATCTTCAAACCCTTTCATTTCTGACTTCTGATTTAATTGGGTTGGTATACTTCAATCATAAAAGTTTCACGTGTAAAAACATTGTCAAACTATGACTACCTGTCATATCTTTAGTATTATTTTAAGGTTTGAAAAACGTTTATTAAGTTTCTTCATTTAAGAATAAAATATACACATGATTATGCAACTAATGACAATCTCCAAATCAGAGAATAACAATAAGAGTAGATTTTTTGTCAAGATTGCCTAAGACCCTAACAAAATCTGACATTTCAACATTAAGCCACGGCAGTGTGAAGAAACAACCTAGAAAAATATACATTTCTGTTAAAATAACGATAACAAGTATTACTCTGTTGCATATGAAAGTACTTTACCAATAAGGAAAATGTAAGATCATGCTAAATGAAATGATATTGAACGAAAATGAGAGTAACATATCGAGATTCAATTAAATTCATTAATGGACCATTTCATAAGCTAACCAATTAGCCAATACATAAAGTATAAATTAACTGGAATTTTCCATTACATTTTATTTGAGCTGTTGAGCAACTCTATGTTGAATGGTGTTTAAATATACCTGTTTGTTTGTCTGCTTACCACTCAGCCGGTAGCCATTCGCCTTAGCCGCCATGAAACGGGACAACTCAGGAAACAACCAAGATGGTCCTCCGTCAAAATTCCAACGTTCTTCCGTTGATTTAACAAATGTTTCCATCAGATTTCTTATTCCTGGGAGGGCTGCAGGGATAATGATTGGGAAGGGTGGGGAAAATATCAAAAAAATTCGATCACAGGTTTGTTCTTTCATAATTCATTTAGTGACTTGCTCAATCGCTGTTTTGGCACCAACTGACTCGATTCTTTGTTTTATATTCTTTACGGTTCCTCCACCTTCCGGACACTTACTCGCTGAATCTGGTCAATCTCCTCTGATAACCCAATGGTTTGGGTTGGTACCACATGCCTGCCTTATTCTCAAACTGATGACTCTGGCTCACTGAAACCGGCCCTGCTTTATCCCATTTATTGTCTCAGTATAACGTCAAGCTGAATATTCCCGACAGCAGAGGCCCTGAACGGTAGGGTAACCCAGAAACTTAATGTCACCTTGATGTCTATTCGGTCGATTAATTAGTTTGCCTAAATTGTTATTTTCATGTTTTTGGTTCATTAATGTATTTGTAAAGCCCTTTTTGGATATGATTTGCAAAGTCATTCCTGACTGCTTAACTACCAGCTAACCCACGAGTTACTGTTGTAACTGGAAACCCCAGTGACTTAGTCATTCATTGAATTCTATTGTGTAAAAATCTAGACAAGTTTTGATGATAACCCTCAGACGGTTGTCTAGTTCTCCGAGCCCTCCACGACTGTCACTATATGGAAGGGTGTCATGAGCTTCGTTATACGATTAAAGTTTTTGTTTTCTTCCTTCTTTCCCATCCTAACTTGCTTTTTCTCCGATAGGATAATGACTATCGAAGGTGACCTGCAGGCTATCTGCAGCATCATGCGCGATGTTTGTCCGAAACTGAAGGTAAGGTGAACTTAATAAAATTGACTTCAAAGGATATAATGAATGCCAAACTTTCCGACCCTAAACGCATAATGGGTGCCCAAGGATCTCGACGCCGCCCGAGACGAAGTGAAGATCCAGAACGAGATGATGAGGAAGACGAAAACATGATTGACTTCAGAATATTAGTGCACGAAAGCCAAGCTGGGTCTGTAATCGGTCGAGGCGGTGAACGTATTAAGGACCTTCGTGATGTAAGTTTGTCGACGTTTGCTAAAACATGAAATTTAGAAATACAAAATGCGTGTTATCAAGGTGTACCAGATGTTGGCTCCGTTATCTACTGACCGAGTTGTACAGATGGTTGCTGACCCAGACAATGTCGTCCAATGTTTGAGAGCTGTGATAGAAGCAGTAGAGGTAAGTACACACGTTTAGCTCGGTCATTTCTGCCCCCCAATCGGCTCCCACAATCGAATCATTGATAACCACCAACCTGGGTCTGTTGTCCTATGGTCGTACTGTCACGACCCTATCGACAACCAATTGCACTCCACACTTGCGGTGTCAGTAAGCAGTCATACTTCCAAAACTAAGAGTATTGACGAACGGTGTGTTGCACTAACATCTGAGTGTTGTGTCACGCCTTCGAGTGCATTGGCTGACCTTTTGTGGTGTGGGCGCATTCACTGCATATAGTATTAGCAGTTGCTTGGTATTTATTGTGTTGTTTGTGCTCCTGACACGATGTTGTGTTTTGTACTTTTCAGTCTGCTCCTCCTCGTGGTCGCCGTGAGGATTATGACGCTGCCAACTTCAGTGAGGGTGATGCTCTCAACTATGGCGGTTGGTTGTCTCGAGAAGCTGCAGCAGCACTCGCTCAAGGGATGCCTCTCCGTGGACCTGGGTGCATGCCGCCGATGGGTTATAACATGGGAGGTCCGTACATGATGGGTGGTGGAGACATGGGGCCGATGGGTGGCGGTATGGGCCCTATGGGAGGAGGGATGGGACCAGGTGGAGGAATGGGTCCTATGGGCGGCGGACCGGTTCCCGGAGGTCGTGGTAGAGGACCTCGCTCTGGTGGCGGAATGATGAGTGGAAGCGCGCCTCTCGCTCAAGGCCAGCGAGGAATGATGGGCTCTTCAGGCCCAGCACCTGTCCCCCCTCCTGCCGGTCGTAACAACTCTATGGGTCCTCCAGGTGGTTATAGTAGTTCCGCAGACGGAGGCTACGGTGGTCAAGGTGGATATGACGGGTCAGGAGGATTCGACAACGGAGTATACGGAGGCATCGACCAAACTGGACAGGGAGGATTCAGCGGCCCTGGATACGGTGGATCAGGCAACATGGCTTCTGGAGGTTACGGTGGGTCTGGGTATGGTGGAAGCCAGCGTGGATCGGCTGACATGGCAGGTGGTCAAAGGTAAGTCATTTCATGTAATACTACGTAACGCAACACTAAACGACCAAAACTCGTGAGAGTTTAAGTAGTTTATAGGAATTAGGATCCAGCTGTGTACCTCAGGGTTGACTACGTAAAAGGAACTCGCCCCGAGCTATTGTTCAACTTAGTTCGGAAATCATACACGCGGTAACAGCTGGGGGACCATCGTTGTTTTTGGGACCTCGGCCAACCGTCAGATGCTCCACTGTTGAATCAGCCGGTCTGTAACAATCCACATAGTTGCTAAGAATAGCCGCCCTAGGTTGTAAGGAGTACGCTTCAAATTAATTTCTACAGAACGGGGTTGCCTATATTGAAGTGTACCCACTGGCAATGCTGGCTGTGAATGGAGTTCCGAGAGGTATCAGGGTTCGTCGTGGGCGGAGAGACTACTTGTGGTGGGTCTGAAATTCAAACTTCGACTCACCCACATCGGTTCGGGCAACCGAGTGGTACCAATAGTCGTAACAAAAATGGTGTGGCTCAAGGCCCGCCACATGGTCCTGTATTACTAGTGTGTCGGACTGAAGCAGAGAAGGCGGTACTTGCCGTAACCTAGCTACTGCAGAGTTGGATTATTGTTTACTCCCTCGTTCCGAGATCACAATCTTTTCCTAACAAATGTTTGTTTTCCTTGTAGTGCTTCCCGTGGCGGCACCTATGGTGGGTATGGAAGTATGGGATCTGGAGAGCATGTTGGAGGCAAAGCCAGCCAGTGGTATGGCGGATGGTCTTAAACATTTACTTGCATTTAATTTCAGTAAAATATACCTGTTAATAAATAACAATCACCTGTTGGTTCTTGATAACGTGTAGATAAGATTGAGTCCTTGGTTTGCGTGTTCATTGCAGTTAAACGAGTGCCGTTTTGTAGGTGTGTTTGACTTGAAGTTCATGTGGATGTTAATCTTATTTTTGCGCTTCATGACTGTGAACTAAAGGTTGAGATTCCGTTTAAATATTAGCCCCTAAAATTTTGCTGTTAGTTGTTGAGTTCAGAATTTCAGTGTCAAAATAGAAACAATATGTATGAATCGCCTGGAAGCTGTGTGTTCTGCACCTTAATCTGTACAGTGCTGGGGTCCCATGATTTTATAAAAGGATTTAGGGTTTCCTAATCATATTGTCTTTAACGAGCACGTGTGGTGGTCTAATAAAGTTCGATGTATATGAGTATTACTGCTGTCACTGTGCTACTTGACCGATATTTACCGATAGCTAACACAAAAAGGAAAGGGCTCGTTTACTTATTGTGGCTGCTCAGAATATGTATTTCATTCCTCCTATCTGGACCGGTTCTATAGTGCAATGGGTTTATACTCACTAGCATTAAAATTGCATTCATATAACTTTAAAGAATTATAGGGTCATGAAGTATATAAATGTGGGTATCTCCAAATCTTCAGGTCACTTGGACGAACAGATGCAGTTTATTTTAAAAATCGGGCTTATTCTAACCTTATGTGTATTGGTTATCAAAGCACACTTGGTCGACTTTGACTTGATTTTTTTCGGCCAAGTTTTGAAACGTTTCTCAAATCCATTTTTGTGCGACCATTTTTGGTCGATCTTTAAGATGGTCGGTTCTGCCGCCAAATGTGGACAGCCATACTGTTTATTACATGTGGAGGAAGGAATGAAATGTGATGAGTGTAAGAAGTGATTCCATAGGATGCGTACTGACTTAAACTCACCTGCATATGAAAGGTGCTCAAAGACCTAATTCCCATTTGCTGTGTATGTCTTGTTCGAGCAAAAAATTACTCATCCAAGTGGCAATTAACTTTCTGGCGTTGGCTAACACAAAGGTTAATGAGGGTTGTATCAGTAACTTATGTATTGATGGCGAAGAATGTGTCGGTGTTTTAAGTGCTGTTACTGTATGTACCAGACACCCTGTAGTGTCGGTTACTATGTTAGGCTCATATAACTTATTTTAGCTTCTGGACAGGCCAATTTATCCACTCTTGTTAAGTCACATTTTGACCTTGTTAGATATTCGGCTATCAACTTTGAATATTTTTATAAAAGCGTATGCGTGTGTACACTTCTTGCCCCATTCATCACATGTCCGTAACTTATTTTTGTCTGGCTATAAATATTGGTTAACGCTTGATTAAATGGAGTTGGCTCACTCGCTTTCTCTACTGCGCGTTATTTCGCTTCGTTCTCTTCTCTTTGCTTTCTTCGCTTCGTTTCTTCAATTGTTTGTCTTGATCAACAGTTGTATAACATATATGTATTCAAAAATCTGCTCTCGTATTTGGCATTTATAATTGCGTTATTCACTAACGTGGTTTAAGTCGTTAATTATATACGGGGATTGACGATATGTATATTATCAACAACAATCATCCGTACGATCTAATTAGAGGCAGATCTCGGGCCAACAAAACCCGTCTGTGCAACATACAATAGGTATTTCTACCTCGAAGCAATTAATGAGTGAAACACCATTGTATACTGGTGGCCAAGTTGTTATAGCAACGATTGATAACCCAGATAAAATTTATGTTCTCCCGAGTACTTCTAATGTGAATGCTGCGACTGATGGGAAATGGATGGCGCGAAGACATTGAAGAGAAGGAAAGATGGACAAAATCAGAGCCCGTTTAGCTCCAAAGTCCTTGATGAACTCATATTCTGTATTGCAGATTACTTCGCCAAAGCTCCAGCGCAGGACAATATTTAACCCTATAGTAGGTGGGGAACGTTTGGCCTCGGCAAACATTGTCGTGAGCCAATTGCTCAGCTCCCACAACTCAGGCACAATAAAACCGATGGCAAGTTCCAAGTAGTTAATAGGCAGGAGCTAACTTTCAAAGAAGTTAAATCTGTTGCCAGTCTAGTTATTTGGAATCTAGAGGAGTCGAAAGACAATGATCCTGCTAGACGACATACAAATGATTTGGAGTTAATGGAATCCGCCATCAGAAATGTATTGTCTGAAGAGGTTTCAGGGGTATATGTCACGAAAGTAATGAGACCAAGTGACTGGTTTGGAGGTAAAACCCAATCAAGAATAGTCTTGAAGTAGGTGCTCGGGTATTTCGAAGAAAGGGGCGTATTATTAGATAACGCATACAAGACTCGTGATCCAAATATTTGTATTCGACCAGATTGACCTCTTGAGTGTCGAATCAAGCGAAAGAATGCCCTTACGAAATTAAAAACTGGAAAGCTAAATGGCGAGACGAACCTTACGATCAAGGGTTTCGGGTAGTCAGGTCTTAGAAGCTAATGCTTCCGAAACCTGTATGAGTGGAACGAGTGATCCTTAAAACATCTTAAATGTGTGCTATACGAATGCCTCTAGTTTTCAAAATAAAATGTCAAATATAAGTTTGGTAAATCAGGTCGCGATATAATTGTTGGCACAGAAACGTAACTCGTTGTAGATGTAAACTATTCCTTCACCATTGCAGGCTACATCTGCATTAGAAGTGATAGAGTTATAACTTGCAAGGAAGGAGGCATAATGTTATACGTTATGGATCACTTTTATGTACAATTGATCATCTCTGAGGCGCATGTGAAGTAGCATGTCGTATAACTCAGTCTAAACACAAGTTAGTGACTTTAGGAGGAATATACCGTAATCCGTGTTGTCTTGCTGACTATTTTACCCTAAGATACATCTGTTCTTTGAGTAAGGCCAAATGTTGTCTCATCATTGCAGATTTCAACGCAACGCGAACCAACTGGATGGGGCTTACAGCTCCAGGTAGGGGTTTCGATAGCGACCTTCTATCAACCATTTTTCAGTGTACCTTTTTAGAATGTGTCGCAAAACTGACACACATTGATTCGGAACATGGTTTATCTTTTCTGGACTTTGTATTCACACACCACTGTGACGATATTATCAACATTCAGTACCTTCCACCACCAGCTAATAGTGATTACGTTGTCCTTTACTTTGGGTTTCGGACACATGGTATACAACATTTATCTGTTCCATCCCGTCCCAATAACTGGCTAACTAGTATTCCGGCAATTAGAGACTCTTATGTGTACAAACTAATCGGTCGATAGGGATGGATCGACCGAAGACGAACGGAATGAGTTTAAGAATACATTCGAGTCTGTAACCACTGTTTATCCCATGGTCAACACGTAAGCTGTCACATTGTCCTTCATGGAGTAATAAGGAAATCCGAAAACACTTCTGGGAATTATTCTTGTCGACAAGACACAAATCATTTAAGTGTAAATACCGAAAAATCTGGAATATATGCAAAAACACCACAGATATATGCCGTACTATTTACGGAAGACAGTGGGTATGTAATAACCATACTTGTCCGGAGAGACTGTTTTCGTACGTTAAATGGAGGACAAAACGTAGTGATGGTGTTCCCCGCAATAATGTTGCGCGAATATTTAGATTTACTAGCTGAATCAGATCTGGGAAAGGCTGAGATTATCAAACTATTTCTTCGAAATGCAATCCACATGCATTGTTAAAAATACTTATCCTAGTCATACCACTGATATACCAGCCATAGGACCTACACATGTGACTGGGAAAACTGTTCTTCTATTGATTATTAACCTCGAACCTTGCAAGATACCGGGCCTTGATAAGTTCCATCCACGGTTGCTATCATCTCTCGCAGACATTATTTCAAGACCATTCGCGATGCTCTTCAACATATCCCTTTCCCTTACCCAACTCCCTAGAGATTGGATAGATGCTACAGTCAATCCTGTACTTAAAGATGGTCAGAGACAGATAGTGTCTAACTACCGGCCTGTCAGTCCAACCAGCATAGTCGTTACGTTGCTTGAAAAGATAATTCGGGTTAAATTACTAGATCGCATAGGATTGTACAATCTGTTAACTCCCGAGCAACATGGGTTTCGAACACAAGCATTCATGTTTGACCAACTTACTCATTGTGTGAGAGGATCGGACGGTGACCCAGACAACATTCAGTTTGTCGATGTGATATTCATAGACTTTAGCAAAGTGTTTGACAAGGTTTCGTACTCAGGTTTTATGTAGAGGCTCTTGAGCTTCGGAATAACAGCTACTGTACAGAAATGGGTAGGAAACTTCTTATAAGACCACATACAGAGAGTGAGGGTTGATCGAACGCTATTCGAATGAAAGCCGGTCATATGTGATGTACCCTAAGATACCATCTTAGATCCTCTGCTTTTCCTTCTTTACATCGATGAATTACCGTTATTGGTTAAATTGTCAACATGATCGTTTGCGAATTATGTCGAAATCCGGAGAACAATAAGAAGTGGAGTTGATCATTTTGATCTTCATGTCGACCTAGACGAATTATCCAGATGGGCCCGATGTTGGGGCTTAGAGGCTAATTCTAGAGAGTGTGCTCATGCACACTGTACATGATAAGCTATTAGTGTGTTATTGACGGTACATCACTTCCATGAGTGCAGGAACATAAAGACTTCGGAGTAATATTAGGTCACGATTTGAAAATATTTATTCATTACAGTGCAGTAGCTGCCAAAGGGTTTCGTGCGTTATGGTCACTCCGCTGAGCATTCAAATGATTGACTTGGTACTTCAAATTATGTATCCAATCTATGTAAGACTGTGGGAACAAATTTAGTGAACAGTCTTTCCAAAGTCCCTTACGTTGAGCGCTTAAAACGCCTAAACCTTCTCCCTTTGTCGTATCGTAGGATGAGAGATGACCTGACACTGGAACATCGCATCTTTAATTACAATTCAGGTACTGATATGTCCTATCTCTTTACTCCCTCCGGCACTAAGAATATCCGAGGTCATAGCGAG